TAACAACACTGGGACCATGAAATGCTTCCCTTGGGTTAGGGGTTCTTTACCTGGTGTCCATGAACTTATTATTCTTAAGAAAATATTTTGATAGCTACATTTCAATATAATATAATAAATTCTTTGTAATCCTGTGTTTTATGCCTTTAAAAACATTACCCTGAGAAGGTTCCATAGGCTTCACCAGACTGCTAAATGGGTCCATGAAAAGACAAAAGGTTAAAAACCACCACCTTAGGAGGGGGTATTTAAGTTGAGATTAAAGGAAACTAAGGATTCTAGGAATGGGGTTAAGGTGAGTTTATGTAGGACATCCATAGGCACAAATATGGGAGATAGAATACAGATTTGTAGAAAAATGCAGATAAAAGAGTTCTACTTAAGTACACACAGTTTGGCTAAAATGTACAGTGTATGAAATGTAGTAATATGAAAATAAGTGTGGAAAGGTAAACTAGAGCCAGACTGTGAAGGGCTTTAATTCCTACCTAGGAGTTTGTATTTCATTCTAGAGGCAATAGGAAGCCATTGAAGATTCTTGAGCAAGAATAACATGACCATATCTGTGCATTAGGAAGATTATTTTGGGAATTATATGAATGATGAATTACAGAGGGGAGAGGCTACAGTTAAGAAATGTACTGATTTAGGAGACTGTTGTAATAGTCCAGATGAGAATTAATGAGGTCCTGAATAGGGGAGTGGCCATGTGAATGAAAGAAAGGCCAGATATGAAATATATGAATATAGAATTTACAAGATTTGGCAACTGATTCAATACAGAGATGAGCGAGAATGAATAATTAACGATAACTTTGAGGTTGTAAGCCTGTATAACTAGAAGGATGGTGCCCTCCGCAGAAATAAGAAAGTCTAATGGAGGGCAAAGTTTAGAAGATGAAGGTAATGAGTTCCATTTGGGATATGTTGACTTTTATATGCCTACTAGTTATCTATTTGGAGATGTCCAGCAGCTGGTTGGTGATGTGGACTGTTCCACATTTCATTCTGTTCATTCTTTCCTTTCATCTGCCTTCCCTATAGAAGAAAGCATAATTAAACCAATTGAAAAGCTATCATGCAAAGAAATGTTACCTGAAAAAATAGAGGAAGCAAAAGGTAATACTTGGTTATTAGAGGTTGGTGTATTTTGTTAATTGTATTTGTTAATTTTTCTTTTCTCTGCTTGCTTTGTACTCAAAACTGGCTTACCGCTACATAGACTTCACATTTCAACCATTCATAAAGCAACCAGGCTTTTTTCATTAACTTTAGATAGCTAATTTTTGTCTGTTGAGCTCTTACAATGAGATTGGCTAGATGGCTAGAGCCCTTCTGTATCATTTAATACAAAACTAAAGAGTGTCTCCTTCACTTCTCTTCTCAGTAAAGGAATTGCTAAAGAAGAGTCTGGAAATAATGAAATAATAATCCCTCTTGTAAAATCCTTGGACAGGGGGAAGGAAGGAAGCTTCATTGGTTTTGTTTAATGTCTCCTTTCAGTCTTTCTCTCCTTTCTCTTCTCAGTCTCTTTTCCTTCCATAATCTCTTCCCTCCCTTCCCTGCAAGACATCCAAGACCATAATAACCTGGGAAGAGAATAGATCTGCTTCTGAGAGATAGGATTGGAAGACAGAAGGAAATGTGGCACAGAGGGAGATAGGGAAGGGATAGAGAAGAGGGGTGCTTTAACTAGAAACAATCTTGAGGAAATAAATATTGTTGGATACAATAGCAGTAATTCTGTGATTGACAAATCTTTCCACATATTCTACCCTATTTTCCCATATTAAATGATGGCTGTTCAAAGAAATCTAATTCAGCTAAAAAATATAAAAACTATTATATTTGAATTATAAAGCTATTATATTTTATATTTTTGCCAATGCAGATAAAAGAGTTCTACTTAGTACACACAGCCATGTTTAAAAAGTAACTTAACTAGATGAGGTAATGTGCAAGTGTAAATTTTATACTTTTGATAATAATAATGCTTGAAAATTATGAACATCTCTGTCTAGTTTGTTGTCCTAATATACTCCCTATTGAAAATCATCCTAAAATGTTTTTGGCTTGTCCATAATCTGACTGTAAAACTTCATACTATGTCAATAGGAAAATTTGGAAGTTATACTACTTATAATCAGCCAGGATATATCCCTTCATTTCACAAAAAAGAAGTTGGCTCAGCTGGCCAAAGGATACACTTAGCACCTCTTGGTCCCACGACTTCAGGTAAGAAGTGTCCTACTATGTAAATTTTAAGCTACAGATTATATAATTGCTATTTCGTGGAGGCTAAAAGCACTTGGACAAATCAAAAGCCCTTTGTTCATTTTAAGTTTGTTTACATTGATTCAGTCACTACTTTGCTAACAGAGTTCTGTTTGTTCCTTAGCAAAAGGTCCCTTGTTCTGGGCAACCCCTAATAGGTTGGTCTGGGTCTCACAATAGGCTTCAGGAGATCACAGGATTTAGAACTGGAAAGAACCCCCTTCCCCACATTTCACCAGTAAAGAAACAGAAACCCAGAGAGGTGAGGAGATTTTGCTCAAGATCCCGTAATTAAGTGGCTTTTCTCTATATCCACATCCCTTAGTACACAAAAGCTGTGAAATCCAGACATCCGATGACTTTTATTTTCCAGAGTTAGCCCTCAGAGGGTCTTCTCTTCCCTCAAAAAAAAAAAGTTACCCCTTATACCAGGCGGCAATAGTGTTCCTTGGCCATCCAGCTTCAGGGCATAAGCTTTGTCTGTGGTTCAAGATGGAGCCTCTGTGTTTGAGGTCACTTAGATTTAATCATAAATTCTCAACACTGGGCAGCTAGATGGCACAGTGGATAGAGCACTTGCCCTGGAGTCAAGAACACCTGAGGTCAAATCTGGCTTCAGACACATAACACTTACTAGCTGTGTGACCCTGGGCAAGTCACTTAACCCCATTGCTTAGCCAAAAAAAAAAAAACCTCTACACTTTTACGTATAAAATTAAGCATACATTAAAGTGGTACTTTTATAGCAAAAAAAGCATATTTTAGCTTGATATGAGGAAAAAACCTTCCCAATTATAGCAGTACAGATGTGGAGTAGTCTGCCTAGGAAAGCAGTGAGTTCCCCATCCCTAAAACTGGTCAAGAGGAGAACAGATGATACCTAGTCAGATAGGGATGTTGTAGAAGGGGGATTCATGTTCATGTATAGTTTGAGCTGGATGGTCTTTGAGATGTCCCTTCCAACTCTGAAATCCAGTCACTTTTCAAAAATCTACTCTAAAACATAATTCATTATTTCTGCAGGAAGTCCGTTTATCCTGCCCCAAATATTATACATTGACTCTAATCAGAATTTCTAACCTTATTAACTCATCCTTCTATCTTAATTTAGAGTTAAAACTTTCTTTGGGTTTGCACTTGACTCTAGCATCTGGTACAGTTTGACCTTCTAGTTCCTCCAGAACACTAATCCTTCTGCTTATGGTCTTTATCAAAACCACTGATTGAAAGTTTCAAAACTTATCAAAAGAAAGACCTTGGACAAATCACCTCGCTTCTTTGGGACCCAGTTTCTTCACCTGTTAAGTAATGGATTAGTCTAGATAACGAGGAAGGTTCCTCTCCTGTCTATAATTATTAACATATTAGATAACCACTCTTGCTTTAAAAAAAAAAAGATCCTCTGGCTTCCTGCTCTAAGTTCTTTTCTTTTCTGCTTCCAGTGAAAAAGGAGGAAAAAGAGAAATAGATATATATAGCTATGCTTCACCCCTGGGTCTAAAACTAGCATCTTTGTCTGCCATCCTTTGGTTCAAAAACTAAAGAGCTTCTCCTTCCTTTATTTTTTCAGACTGAGAGAGTTTTTAAATATGATTTCATGTAATGGAAGCTTGTTTAAACTAATTTGTGTACCATTTTAAATTAGTTCATTAGGCCCAGAGCCAAGGTGGTCTAGTAACACCCACTGGCAACTTTTTTTCCCCATTATGGACATTTAAACCAATTATATCCCTTAAAATAGACTCAAACATTTAAATAAAATTAAACAAAATTAAACAAAGTAAACTGGTTTCATTACTTAAGCCATTACTTTATTCTCTAAGAGTAATACACCACAGTCAGGGTTTGGAGACTTTAAAATATAAAAAGTCCTGGGCTCCTCTGTTTAATTTTTATATTTTACATAAAATAGAACTGCTTGATGGAAATTTAAATGACTATGCTCAGTTGACCTTATTTGTGAAAAAAAATTGCTGAAGGAGAGTAGATAATTATTTTATATAGAAATGATTACCATAAGAAATATTACAATAAATCAGCCTTGTAAGGAGTCATTTACCTTAGCTGAGTAGCAATTTGTAGTTGATAATAATGCTTTTTTCCTTAATTAACTATATATATTTTAATACCTGGGTACAGAGTTGGAACTAGGTGTAGGATAAGGTAGGCATTGCCTAGTTGAAGTATGTGGCAGGGCACTGAGGACAGTTTTTAATATTATTTGTAAATAAATGCTTATATTTTTAACACCGGAAAATTCCAACATTAAACACTGTATGTGTTACAGTGAATCCTCCTGGACAATAGTGTATTGGGTAGGGGATACAGAATGTCATTTTCAAACCTTGCCTAGAGTCCATGGATACTTTGCCCTGCCCTGCCTCCTGTAGGAATAATCAGCTATTAAAAACACAGTATTTGTTAAGATTACATTTTTAAACCAATATGAATGTCATAATTCATATATTCATTGTTCTATCAGGTTATCATGCTTATTCCTGTTTCCTTTTTCCAAAGTAAATGTTATCTTATAATTTTTCATCTCTTCATTTACTCTGCCTATCAGATAAATCTACAGATGGTGGTAGGAGGAAAGGTAAAAAAAAGAAGTAAATGTTAATCACTCTCAAGTGATAACCTTAGAAAAACATTATGTGTAAGAGAAGTGTCTTCCAGTGCTCCCACTTTTGTGAGTCTCCCACAAGAAAATAAAACCAGGTCATTACCATATTTACTCAGATATTTTCCCCCTCTTGTATTTTCTTGCTCTCTTCCTTCTTTCCCCTCACCCAATTTTGAGAAGAAAATCAAGAAAAATCCTCCGTTGTCCACCAGGATCACACACATTTACACATTTTTCTTTCTTCTCTGCTCTGGAATGGCAATCCTGGCTGCCAGGAGAAGGTCTTTGGGCTTTAAGAACTTCAGTCAATTTCACAGTTCAAAGAAGCTTCTTGTTTCAAGTGGAATATCCTTGGCAAGGCAGACAGAATGTTTAAATTAAGGCCTTATCATGACCCCTCCATCACAAGACTGCTTGCCAGTAAGTAGCTCAGGAGGCTGAGGGAAAAGAGCAGACTGAATCGGCATTCATTTCTTTATCTCTATGCAACAGTGCCTCTGCCTCCAGCACTCTGAGGTTGTTGGCAGATTGACAAAGAGACAAGGTGTTTCCAGCCCTGCCAAGAGATACTGAAGCAGTTATCTAGGGATTTTAGTAGCTGTTTCCTCCCACCCTCCCCCTCAGACCAATGGTACATATGTACCACATCAACAATTTCTAAGGAAAAAAATCCTAGATGTCAACACCACCATTTAATCTGTTTTCCCAATGATTTCCTCTCTGAAGCACCTTTCTCAATCTTTCTCAGATAACTTAGCAGACACAGATACCTGTCTGGGTGCCCCTATGATACTTTTTCCCTCCTCACTCCCCAATACTCAGATCTTTTCTGCTGTTGTGTCCCTTCCAGTCCCACCACCTAAATGTACCTGTCATATCTTCTAACTCCAGCATTTAAATGAACTCATCGAATATCTCATCCACTCAGGCCCAGGGCATTAGCTAGCTATATTATAATGTCTCATGATCTCTCCATAATGTGAAAGGCACCTTCATGGAAAATTAATAGATGTGCATTTTAACTTCTGGGGATACTATCCCTCACCTTTGTTGTCTAACCTGTCAGTGATTTTAGGGTTGGAAATTTCAAGCCAAATAAGAAAGGAGAATTAGCATCATGTTAGGCAAGTGAGAGAAATTTTCCAGGCAGTCATTGCCTTTCAACCACTTATCATATATCACAATTCATGGTCTGTGCTACCTGGGTATAATATAATGTGGAGAGTTCCACACTTTTTCGCTCTAAGTCTTTTTCACTCTAAGCTAAGAGTGGCAGAAGACTAGGATTCAGATGCTCACATAATTCCCCCCACACACCCTGTTTTAGAATGAAAGTATCGGAGAGAAATAGGGGAAATTATGCGAGGAAATACGGTATAATTGGCTTTAATGTGCAAAAATGCCCTGTTTTGGGCTTTACATTTCATCGTGACATTTGGGCTTTAATTCAAGAATGGCAGACACTACCAATGGCAGATGAAATGACATCTCAGTAGCAAATGAAAAGCATCACACAGCATAACTCATGACACAGCACCCACTTTACCATGCCAGTCATTTAATTTTAGGGAAAAATTTATGGAAACTGTAAATTTGCTATAAAGTAGTTTTTAACAGTAGTGTCATAAGAGATAAGCATACCTGAAACAGAACTGATGAACTGCTTAGGTAAAGATTAGCTAGTAATCATGAGTAAAGAATCTATGTATTTTTAAGTCAGCCAGACTTTTAGTTGACTAAACCCAACCCATTAATAACATATCCTGCTGTCATTGGTTTAGGGTCTGTAGGAACATTACTGTAATTAACAAATGATCAATAAGTTAATCATCCATACTTTTTCTTGCCTTTTGGAGAAATTCAACTGTTCTTGTTTCAAAGGAATTAAATTTTCCACTTTTAAAATAAAATGTAGTTGTCTTACTCTGTGACTCCAAAAATACTTGTTAGGAAATATTTATAGGATTCATGATACCAATTGAATTTTCTATAGTTATGCAATGTTTGGATACCACATACTTGCCTCATTTAGACTCATATGCATTGTGACTTTGGACAATTCACTAAATTGTTTATATTTAAGGGTTCCTAGATTGAGTAAAGACCAGAAATCCCAAGTAGCTCCAGCCAGGCTGATCCAATTTCAGAAAAGGCAGTGGTATAATCATAGTAGTCATAACTAGCATCTACATGGCACTTTAAGGTTTGCCCAGAAGTTTACACAGTGGCAAGAGCACTGGATTTGGAGTCAGAAGACCTGAATTAACATCCTAGCTCTATAACTTGTTACCTATATAACCTTAAGCAATAACTGAGCCTCTCAGGGACCTCAGTTTCCTTATTTGTAAAATGAAGAAGTCAGACTAGCTAAGGTCCAAGTTCCCTTCCAGCTCTAAATCCTATGGTCCTATTAAAAAAAAAAGTGTCTGTCTGTCTGTGTCAGTCCTTGCCAGCATGAATCAGAAATCTGCAGCAATGTGGGAACTTGAAAGTGTGATTCTCTGTTACAAATTCCAGTTATGCCAGCACAGCCCTAAAAGTTCTGCTATAGCTCTATATGGGCAGTGCCTTAGTCTTTGTTTCTGTTTCCAGATCTATAAAATAGAGCCATTGGAGGTGTTCAGTAGAAACCACTGATTGAGTCTTTTAAAAAAAAATTGAAATTGCAGAACTTTTCTCCCTAAAATGACAGGATTAATGACCTTCTTTGAAATGTTTATAATCAAATCAATTAATGTAGTTCTCATTTCTAATTTTGGTTTCTTTCAGATTATGCCTGGAACACAAAAACTGGTCGGACCCAGTTTTCAGGCCCTACTTACAATCCTACAGCAAAAAATATAAATATTTTAAATCGTGCACATCCAGTCCATTCAGTGCATGGAAGAACAGACTGGGTGGCCAAATATGGAGGCCATCGGTAGAAGGGTTGTTTCACAATGCGCCCCTTGTTCTAGTACAATATGTTCCATTGCTATACTCTGGGAAATATCTACAAATGTTTATTTCCACTGATTTCTGGGGGAAATATGCAACAGTGGATAGTTTAAAGGCAAAAAAAATCATCTTGTGTTTTATTCCATCCTTAGAAATGAAAAGCACATCTCTTAGCATTATTGGCTACAACATTGATTTAAGGGTAGAATTTTACAAAGTATTGGATAAACTTTGCCAAAGCATCAAGTATTTTGATCTACAAATGAACAGATAATAAATACTACAAGAAACTTTTTTCTTTTTAAAAACTCCTGAAACTTGGGCCTTTTTTAATACACTAAGCATTCTCTCCTTGTTGCAGTTTTGGAGGGATTGGCCTCAGATTTCTATATTTATCTGAAAACTCCTTCAGACCATGGTAGGCTCTTGGAGATGATTCTCATTTGGGCAAGCCTTTTCCTACTGTATGTGACTGATGGAAAGCAAAAAAGATGATAACTTGCTATTTTATGTTTTCTATTTTGTAAATACTAGACAGTGGTCATTTTAACCTTCCACAAATATTTTTTTCTAAGGAGGGTATAACTAATACAGAGTATATCAAAATTATGCTATGAGGATACAACAGAGGAAGATTCTATATATTTTGTGTCTGGTCTTATCCAACTACAAATGATATGTTCTGGTGACTATAAATTTCAGTGGCCAGAGGACTTCCAAATTAAGGATATGACACCATTAAGAATGTCCCTGCAGTTATGTTAGTTTTCTGTTCACCACCCTTTCAGAATGTTATCACTGTGTTCCACTGAAAATAACTATGAAATATGTGATCTTATTCCTGAAAGTAAATTGTTGATGTTGTAGATCACTGGCTATGCCCTTTTCATTTGACCTAAAAAGCAAAATGCATTCATTTGCTGAGGCAACAATGGCACTAAAGACATATTTTGTAATTTTATTTCAAAATCTGTATTTAAGATAGACATCTTAAAGTTTGTATTACTCCATTTAAACCTGCCGCTTTATTAACTGGAAAGACTGTTTATTCTTTTAAGATACAACAATGTTATCAATTGATATTTTTATATATTTTAATACTTTGTAAAAAAAATTGTAGCTGTTATTGCCATCATCTTGTGGTTCTGTAACTTGTGAGCTGTATCCAATGGCATATTAGCAAAAATTCAAACATTTTTGCTACAATAGCTGCGCCTTACATTGTTGAAAAATACTGTATAATTCTGGGGAAAGATCTAAAGAATAAATTGTCTGATTAGTAATGTGCCACAACTTTAAATCAACCATATTGCTCTGTGTTTGTTTGTACTATTTGGTCAGTCCTTCAATCTAATAAATCATTGGCAATCTCTTAACTTTGAATGGTATCTATTGAAACAATTACAATTAAATAATAGAATCACAGATTGTTAGAGATGGAAGGGTTCTCAGAGATGATCCAGGTGCCATCTTCTGATTTTATAGATATGGAAACTAGCGCTCAGTTGAAGGGAAGTGAGTTGCCCAATGTCACACAGCTAATTAGTCAAAGAGTTGAACTAGGATACTGGCCTCCTGACTCCCAGTCCAATGTGCTTTCCACTAGAATAGGCAGTTTTTCATATTTAAAGTAAAAATGTAACCATTACTCTTCAAGGTCTATCTTTAAAGAGAAGATAACCTTAGAGCAAGTCTTGCCAATTTAGCTATTTGCCACATACCTATAAATAATATATGTCAGGTTAATAGGAAAGAATATTGATTGTATTTATCCTGTGGGTGACCTGAGTGGTCATTTACAGTTTGGTAAATATTTGCTATTTATTCATAAGGTTATCTATGTCTATGATAGTATTTCATCATTTAAAAGTTATACTAAGAAATGTGGGATGGAATTTTTATATTGACTTCATTGACGGGATTTTCAGTGGTTTTTATAAATTATTAGAGCTCAAGCAAATGCTAAGTGTCATAGGCTTATAAGCAGAAACAAGTACAGATCTCACATAGTACTTTACAGGAGACAAGAATATAGTTAAAACTATGTCAAAATTATCTTGTTTCCTTCTACTTGCCTCCATCTTGATTTTTCTACTCTTGACAACAAGCATTTTATTCCTTGAAGTTTAATGTGAGCACTACCTGTATTGCCCTATCTCCAGGCAACTGTCAAGCTTTAATTGTTCCAAGGGAAGACTCAAGGAACCTCCCTTTTCCCATCACTGTGGGATCCATTCTGGATACTAAGCAGAGTCCTGAAACCTCAATTTAAGAAAAACAATGAGCTTTTTATATTTATTTTTTGTTACTTACACATCCATGACATTTGGCATTTACCCAAGAGCTAGTAATGATAAAAGATCTCCTTAATTAAGACAATGCCAACAAGCATAAAATTCCTACCCTAACTTTCTAGTTATTAAATAGTTATAGCTTTTTTAGGGCCTCCTTGTTAGAAGAAAACATGGTTCTGGGGCTTCTATTCTGGAAATGGCTCAGAGCAAGGGGCCTTTTTGGTACCCATGGAGAGGCAGAGTGGCCTAGTTGATAGAGCGGGCCATGGAGCCAGAAAGACCTGGGAAAGTCAGTTAACCTTTTTGCCTTAAGCAACTCTCTACATATAAGTTGCAGAGAGGATGCTGACCTGCATTGGTAAAGGGAAGTCCCATTTCACTGAAATCACCCTTCCAGTCTCCTATCTATACCTATGGAAACTCTCAGGTGATGATCAGTTACCTGGGGTAATCAACAACCTCCCTGCTCATCTAGGTTTCAAACCCAGCTCAGCTGCAGGCTAAAACAGATCTCTAGGCCAAACCTTACTCAAATTCCTACCCTATGAAAATCCTGGGGGAAAGAAGTCAGAGGGAAAAGTTTGGGCCTTTGAGCATTCAGGGTTTTAAGTGGATACTACTGACCTACTGACACAAGTTCAGCCAACAAATGCTGACTGGCTTGTTTCATAGGAGGCTCGAGAGGAGGGTAAGGAACTGTTACAAACACCTCACAGTGACATAGAACTTAGTACTATTCCCCAAGCACAAGGAGTATTTACAATGACTGTCATGTTAGCAAGTAAATAAGAGACCTAGAAGAGAACTGGGGAAGGAAGGAAGGAAGGAAGGAAGGAAGGAAGGAAGGAAGGAAGGAAGGAAGGAAGGAAGGAAGGAAGGAAGGAAGGAAGGAAGGGAGGGAGGGAGGGAGGGAGGGAGGGAGGGGGAGGAGGGAGGGGGGAGGAGGGAGGGAGGGAGGGGAGGAGGAAGGAAGGAAGGAAGGAAGGAAGGAAGGAAGGAAGGAAGGAAGGAAGGAAGGAAGGAAGGAAGGAAGGAAGGAAAGGAGGGAGGGAGACTGAGTGACTTAGGGTCACAATGCTGATGGCTTCCTGAAGAGGAAAAGATCCAGAAAGAAAGGTGTAGCTGTCCTTTGTACGTTCCTCTGGTGCACTGACCCATTGAGAAGGCAGCTGGAGGGCAAGTGTGGTGTGTCGCTGGTTCTCTGAAGCCCTTCACAATCTAACATGTCTGTGCTTGGGACCTTCTGCAGAGCTAGTGGGCATTGGTAGAATTATTCACCAGATGGGAGAGTTTATGACAACATGGTCATTCAGATATAGTCCAAACTATATTCAATAAAGGCAAATGATCTGAGTCTCTACCCTGTCCCTCTAAGGGGCGTATCTGAAGATGCTATCAAAGTATAGGGCTAGTGCTGAGAGAGAAAACTTCTTTGCATTTATAATCCCAGGCTTTGAAGAACCAAATTATAAGTGATTATGCTATCGCACATAGGGAAGCATTTCTCAAACAGGTCCCAGCAAATCAGGTATCATTTGAAATCCAAATTTACCCTTATTTAGGTAGCAATTAGTGCTTGTTCCCTGGGAAAATATACATAAAAGTAAAATCCATCCCATTAGGCATATATGATTTCCCAGTGGCTTATACTGGAAAATGTTTACCCAAAGTATTACATATGCTTATTTGTCTTATTAAATGATAACAGATACTTGTAGAGCACAGGTGAAAAATACCAAAAGACTAAGCACTAATCTCTATTCAGTTCCCCCACTTTTCCCAGAAACACACATTTCTGTAAAAACCAAGAAACGTCAGAAGAAAAAAACGTTGGCTAATTTTCTCTAGGCCTTGGGATTTTGCAAGCTCGTAAGGCATAGTGTTCAGAGAAAGATGAAGCTCTGACTCACTGGGGGTACAGAGCAAGGCACAGAACTATAATGGGTAATGTTTATAAATAAGGACTTTTTTTTGCTGCTCATATGAGAAATCATGTAGTTTGTCTGACACCATCGAAGTGTGGAAAGAGGGAGAGAGAGGGACAGAGAGGGGGAGAGAAGGAGGGAGGGAGAGAGGGACAGAGAGGGGGACAGAGGAGAAGAGAGGGAGGGAGAGAGGGAGAGGAGGATGGGAGGGAGAGGAGGAGGGAGAGAAGAGGACAGGGGGAAAGAGGGGAGGAGAGAGAGAGGGGGAGAGAGGGAGGCAGAGAGGGGGAGAGAGGGAGGGAGAGAGGGAAAGAGAGAGAGGGAGGTTTTTCAAATCTTGAGAAATCAAGTATATATTTCAAAATTTTTCCTAGCTTTGGAATATTAAATAGAAATAGAGGTGGTCATTGCCCACTGAGGGTGTGTCTGACAGCTTCTGCCTTTTTGTCAGTTCCCCAAGCTTTCTGGTCATTGGACAGACTTCAAATCCTGCAATCAACTACCAGCCACACTATTTCCCAGGGTTGGCTTCTGAAGATAAATAATACCCAGAATCCCTACCATAACATGGCTTGTTAGATATAGCACAGAAATGGTGCTAATGTGGGTGTTTTCAGTCCCATACAAACAGTCTGATTAGGTTGTTTCCCACGCTGCAGTCACTTACAACACAGACCTGACACAGATGCCCAAGCCCATGTTATTTCAAGGCTTCAAATAACTGAGACCCCATTTGCAATACAGTTTTCCTAGTCTTTCAGCACACATTCAAATGAGAACTTTCTCTCCCCTCTAAACTTTGAGAAAGCTCCCCTGCTTGCATCTTAGCTCACAAGGTAGCTCAGAACACACCATTTACAGTACACCTGCAAATAAACTGTAAGGAACAAAACTATTGGGCAGATGATCACTGAAGAAACCACTCAACTGCAGACGTGAGGTACCAGAATAACACGATTTCATAAAACATTTTAATTGATGCTCTGAGACAAGTGTATATAATTGGGGATAACCAAACGTGATGGAAATACAACTTCATTATCTTCCTTTCACAATACGGCTCTCTGTGATACAGCAGACAACCCCTGCAACCAGTACAAAATATTTCAGGTGTCACAAGATGCTGACACCCAATCTCTGACACCTCTGGAGACAACTTGGAGACTGAACCAAACTGTTATAATGGCAGCCCACTATGAGACGGGATTGCTGCCTACAAAGAGATTCAATAATTGATGGGTCACAAAGTTCATTACTTCTTTGGCTTAAAAAAAAAAAAAAGATTCTCCAAAAATATCAAGATATGTACAAATGCTCAGGTCCTCTGCTAATTTCCCAGGAGTTTTCAAAATTCCTAATCAATCTTGACTCAGATTTATAGTTACGCTTGCCTTGGCTTATCCAACATCTTTAGCCCGAGTCTTCCAACCATTAGGAGACTATTAAAAAGAAAAACAAAACAACAACAACAAAAAAAGTTAAACAGACATGCCTCATCTATTTGCATGGAACTTGATAACTTCTTCCTAATTTCAGTAGCTAGCTGCATTTGTAACCCACCCTTAGAACAACATTTTGTAATAGTAGACAGTGTTAGTGTTTTACACTTGGAGTCTAAATAGCAAAATGTGACCTGAAACCCCTACCTCTACCTCCCCTCAGAAATATAGACTCATGTCAGGCCTTCTTATAACTGTCAAGATGAAAATTTCTGCACAATAAAAATGCCTTCTTGCCCACTAATTTCAAGCAAAGCTTAACATGCAACATTTCAGTATAGAGGTTTAACAGAATTTCACCTTCAGAGAAATTTTTAATCATGTATCCATTTTAAGGAAAAACATTCTATGAATATGAGACTGTAGTCTTACTGCCAGTAAGCTTAGGTGACAAAAAGAATACAAACAAGGTAAAATAACTCACAGTTTTAAAGTTCAAAATAGATTCAGGCTAGGGAAAAAAATCAAATTTCTAAAACTTTAGGGATTGTTAAAACTAGAGTAGAAAGAAACTGCAAAGGTGGGATGAGGAAGTACTATATTTCCATTTCCCATTTTTAACAATTTTGTGACTTGTTCTGAGTAGCACATTAGCCTCCTAATACTTTGTGCACTGTTAATATTTCAGCAGGCAGTTATTTTACTCTTGATATGCGATTTTTAAAAAGTCTGCTAGTTTTAAGGTTAATTTTTAATTACAAACTAAGGGGTGTGATAAAATTCCTTCAAAATAAAAGGCAAAACGGTTATATAATGGAAGTCAATGGAAAAAATGGAATTCATTTAACCAAAATTTGCTTTAGAGAAAACTTTCCAGTAAACAAGGGACACTTGTATAGAAAAGGAGTATAGGTATATTAGTTAAGGTCCCTTGATGTTTATACTAATTGTTACTGTTCTGGCCAGAAACTCTGAGGGTCTTCCCCTCCCAGACAAACTCTCTTATGAAGACAAACTAGGCCATCTTTTGCCTCAATTCTTACCTAGCCTTTAACTGCTGAATGGGCATTGCCTCAGACAAACTGAGAACTTTTAAAGACCTTATCTTAAAAAGGCCAAGGTCCCCTACACATCCTGGGCCATCAACAGTACTCCTGACCTATGTCTTGGACTGTGATACTCTGGAGGAGAGAATGAGGCTGATGACTCTGCACAGCTCCACCTCACTTAAATCCAATTCACTTGCAAGTCACAACATCATTCTTCTGGTGTCACTGATCCTCTTTGAGAATGAAGGAAGAGCAACAACTTTCTACCTAGGTTTGCTTTGGAGACATCTGCTAGTGCAAAGACCCCCATTTATTCAAGAGGGCACCTGGCTGACCCAGGTGTAAATAAAGCCAGTTTTTGATGGGGTCTTCAATAAAGACTGAAGTCAACTTGTTAGCGTCTTTGAAGATGCTGGCTGATCACATGCACATTAGGATCTGAAGAGGCCCAACAAATAACTGCCCTTGGCAATGAAGAGGAGGGGGAAGGGAATGGTCACGGACCCTGATGCAAGCAAGCCATTTCAACTAAGCTTGTTTGGTCACCTGGGGTGCCCCCTTAGGTATGGTGTAATTCTCATCTTCTGCTTCAGGCTTTTCCTTCCATTACAGAAGGTAGGTTTATAATCGCATCATTTAATTACCACCTAGAACTGCACCTGCTTTGTCATTAGGTGCAGCTGTACAAATTTAACATAAATAGTTCACTACATCTTTCTTTGCTACACTGAAATAAATGAATCCATAAACTTAAAAATTATCTTAGGCAACAAATAAATAGCCCTCACAGATACTTAAAACTACTTAAACTAAATGAAAAAGAAGCATTTTTTTGACGATACCTGGCACCGGCAATTAAGCCTGCTGGCATGAATTTTCCAGAGTTGTAGAATCTCATTCCCATGATGCCACTCAGAGTTCCTGCTGCAGCTGATGGAAAATGTGAGAATGGTCAAAAAGAAATTTACTCAGTATGTTTGAGTGGCAGCTAGGTGGCGCAGTGGATACAGTGCCAGGCCTGGAGTCAGGAAGACTCATCTTCCTGAATTCAAATCCAGCCTCAGACACTTACTAGCTGTGTGACCCTGAGCAAGTCACTTAACCCTGTTTGCCTCAGTTTCCACATCTGTAAAATGAGCTGGAGATGGAAATGGCAAACCACTCCAATATCTTCGCCAGGAAAATCCCAAATGGGGTCACAATAAGTTGAACATGACCGAACAACAACATATGTTAGGGAGTGAATGAAACAACGAGGTTGAAATTCTACTTATCCTTCAAGACTCACTCGGCCTTCTCCGATCAAGGCAGCAATGAGTGCCCTCTCCCACCACTGAATTCCCAGAGAACTTATCCATACCAGCACTTAGTGACACACTTACTACCTGTTTATTTGGTTTTGCTTCCCCCATTGTCAATGCTGACCCTAATAGGACCAAGCATAACTTCCACTGTGATCAGTGATTTTATACACTAATTTCAGTAAGAAAACCCAGAGCATGACTATGCAAACATATGTAACAGCAAATTATGCTCTGTATTTAACTTTTTTCTGAACATGAATGGGGTAAAAACAATTGGAATTTTTTTTTTCATTCTGGATCTGTGACTTCAACATTGGAGGAAATGACCAATAGGGAAACTCTTTACACTGGCGCAGATCAGCACCTCATCCCAGAACTGCCAAGGTACATAGAGGTTTAAGTGACTTGCCCAGGGTCATGCAGCTAGTAGGATGTGTCAGAGAAGGACATGAACCCAGGTCTTCCTGACTCTAAGGCCAGTTCTCTGCCCACTACAACATGCTGCTTCTCAAACAACAGAAAAAGTGCCTATAAATATAATCAACTCACTCTATCCCACTCCATCAACACCCGCAAGCTAATACTGCATATTTCTTAGTTAGCAGATCATAAAGAATACTTACCTAGAGAAACCCAAATATTCTTGGGATCCTGAGATAATTGATAAGCTCCCAGGCCTGCCAGACCACCAAAGAGAAGACCAGCAGCCAGGGACGGGACACTTCCTACAACAAATCAGATCCATGTTAGCTGTTTCACACTGTGGGTCACAGGCAGCCTGCCCTTGCCAAAATTACATTTATTACAATGAGAAATATCAAAAAAGAACTCTGGTCCAACCAGTTACTGAGGAAGAAAGGGGGGGAGTAAAGGGGAAGAAGTGAAGAGACTAGAACTGGGAAGGAAGGGAGGGAGGAAAAGAAAGAAAAAAGGAAAGAAGAATGGAAGAAAGAAAGCCTATATAGAATAGCACCCAAGAAAATAATCACTGAGAATCTCCAATGAACACTCTTAAAGTCTAAATGGCACTATTTATATAAGGAAGCAGGAAAACAACTGGGAGCTGGTATAGTGGATGGATACTTGGTTCAAATCCCACCTCACACTCGAGGTCACATAACTAGTAAGTGTAAGTCACACAACCAATGACCTTTCAGGTACCTTTTAAGTTCTAAATTTATAAGCCTATGATAAACAAGTCTGAAGGATAAACAAGCATTAAAATTTGGGGATGGAGAGAAGTGTGTGCTGCACAGTACACTTTACTGAAGTGTTCACGTACTGACAGAGTACTCTTCCTTGGGGACTCACAACAAAGTTCTTTCTGGCATTACGAGTCTGGGATGATAACTACTTGGCACTGAATGACAATCATGTGCCTTGATCCTGTGTCTTGGCCATTTGTATAAAATGAAGATGACACTGAATGTTATAAAATCAGAAGCAAGCTATTTTACTAGCACACTGGATAAAAACAAAACAAAACAAAACAAAACAAAATAGTGAGCTGTCCTAACTGCTACAGTGGAAAGAAAATTAGATTTGGAGTCAGGAAGCCGGAGTTTAAATTCTGGCTTTGCTACCTACTACCTGTGTGAACTCCGGTGAGTCAAAATCATCTCTCTGGGCTCGGTTCTTCATCTGTACAATGAAGGGTCTGGCCTAAATGACATCTAGCTGCCTTGTAGCTCTGATCCTGGGCCACAGGCCTACAATAAGCCCCATCTCTCTCAAACCATCCCTGTAGTTTAAGTGAAACTATAACCAAAACAAAACCATTCCTTTATATAAATTCATCACGCATTGGTCCTTCAAAATGGCCAGTCACTAATGACAATAAACTATGAAAAATTTAGCTACTCTAATCAATACAATGACCCGAGACAATTCCAAAGGAGCCATAATAAAAAATATTACTTGTGTCCAGAAAGAGAACTGATGAACTGAGTACAGACTGAAGCATACTGTTTTCCATTTTCTTTATTTTTCTTTATTTCTTTTTTGCAACATGGATAATCTGGAAATTGTTTTACCTGACTTCACATGTATAATTGATATCTTACTGCTTGCCTTTTCAAGGGGTGGGGAAGGGGCTAAACAGAAGGAGAGAATTTAGAACTCAAAATGTAAAAATTAATTAATGTGAAAAATAAAGTGGCCAGTCACCACAGCTAGAAAAACAAGATTCATAAGAATCAGAGCATACCTGCTTTTGCATAGCCAATTATTCCACCAGAAGCAACCAATGCTGCATAGCCAAAGCCAATCCAGTCTAGAGACATCCTGAAAATAGAAAAATAGGAATTCACTGACAATAATTAATAACTCTTCCTTAAAAAAAGTTGCTAACTAAAAAAAGTGCCAAGAAGCACCTATTTATTACGTCCCAGAAGCTCTGCTAGGCACTGGTGATACAAAAACAAAAATGAAATGGTCCTGCCCTTCAACTGAGAAGGCAGCTTCATCATAAACGTCCTTCGATGTTCAGAAAAGTACTATGACTGTAACTTCGGGATCTGGGTACTAGTATCAGTTCTGCCAATAGACTCCTCTAGGTGCCTCAAGGCAAGTCCCAACATCCTGGGAACTCATGACATTTGTAAAATGAAGGAGTTGGATGAGATAATCTCTAAGATACTAAAAGGAACCTAGGGCCTTCTATTTAATACCTGGTCTAGGACACAGAGCACTGGCAGCAGGACCAGCTTCCTTCCCAGCACAGTTCTGGATGGATTTTCAGAGATAGCCTACCACTATGGGTGTCGGACAGGTATGCTAATGTTTCTCCCATACAGAGTTGTTGCCTACTGAAAACTGGAGGGGCAACTAGGTGGTGGCTGTGGATGGAACACCAGCACTGGAGTCAGGAGAACCTCAGACAATTGACACTTAACCCCACTGCCTAGCCAAAAAAACAAAACAAAACAAAAAACGAAAACTGGGCTAAATATAAGCATAGGCTCTGCACCAGTAGGCGACTTTCCCTTCTAACTTAAACCAAAACCGAAAATCTGAAAGGAAAGCCTCCAGCCTCCTTTGCCCTTGACCTTAAAAAATCCTAAACCTGTCTTGTCCATTACTCCTGGGTTTGTACTTCTAGGGTCTCTTCTTTTTTTTTTTTAAATAATGAAGATAAGATACATTTATTTAAGTTTTTAAGACACAGTAGAACTTTCAAGGGCAGGGATCCTGCCTTATTTATCTTTGCATCTCTCAGCACCTAGCACCAGGCATTGAACACACAAACCAATACTGCTAGTTTCCTTGACTGCATGTGTAGGGAACTCCCTCCACCAAAAGACTACAAGCTCTATATGTCTTTTTGTTTTTTGGTTTGTTTGGTTAGGCAATGGAGTTAAGTGACTTGCCCAGGGCCACACAGCTATTTAGTGTTATGTGTCTGAGGCCGAATTTGAACTCGGGTTCTCCTGGGGACCATCCAAGGGCAGTGCTCTATCCACTGCGCCACCTAGCTGCCCCAAGCTCTATATATCTTAACAGATGATTTACTAGGCTTCTAAGGTTAAAAAAAAAAAAGGAAAAGAAAAGAAGAAAAAAAAAAAGGAATCCCTTGGAGGCCAAGCCTCTCGGCTGGTCCAGTCCCCAGGCTCAAAGCACTTCCAATTTATTATGCCTGAGCTAATGTTCTGCCCCTAGCATTTAGCCTAAGAAAGCTGTCACTATCCTAACACGATGAAGCTTCCAAACTCAACTTCGAAGGAATCCTACCTACCTATGGCAGGCGCTTCTGCTTAAGATATAACTGCTAAATATAAGGTCACTTTAATTAGAGGTTAGCCACATGGCTCCTTTTTTTTTTCCTCTAAATTACACTCTGGGGTAGGAGGAATGAAACATTAAAGGGAAAATCAACTTCTCTTCCAGCTCTGCAAAATAAACGGCCTCTGCACAGGCTCCTATGGCGGCTTCCCGCAATTTGTTTTTGTGTTTTAGCTAATAATTCACCTGCAGCAGTTCCGCTCCTACTTTTACTTGTTCTGTATTTAGCTAATGAGGCCAGAATCCATCTTGCAAGCCTGTTTCCCCTCTTTTACTTATTCACCGCTGCAGAAACCGTCAAACAGTGAAATGCATACACACAGACACACAACAAACAAACAAACAAAAAAAAACCCATGCCTGGAAAACATAATCTGGAAATAGCATTAATGGGAGCATTACGCAATCCGTCTGCAACTCTTTCATTTCTGACGCCAGAAACTATAAATTAGTCACGTCTCTGCGATAGCTATTTAAGCACTAGAGTCAACACGTTTTACTTACGGGGGTTCAAGCAAGATTTACAACATGCTTTAAGAAATGTAAAAAAAGAAAAACAAACAAACAAAACAAACAAAAAAAAGACAAACCAACAAAACCCCGTGCCACTTACAACTCCGTAAAATGGACTTAAATCCCTTTACACGGAACGTTGCAGGGAAGCCGACATCTAACTCCGTTAACTAACCTGAGCAGGGTGCTGGGGTGGGAGGCACCGGCGGAGCTCAAGCTTCTACAGATAGAACGTTCGGACGCTCACTGTTTTACGACAATAGAACACTTCCGGGGAAGAACGAGTGGGCGTTACTTAAAGAGCCTTCCTTTAAAAAAAAAAAGTGGCCAATCACCGCCGCGGAGGCCGACCTTTCAGCGGGCTCTGGCTGTCAGGTCCCAAAACCCGGCCTTAAGCAGAGGTCAAGGAGGTGTCCAGCCATGCTGAAGATCCGGAGACAACAAAAAGAGGAAGAAAAAGAGTGTGCAATAAAGCTTGGAAGGGAAAGGGGGAAAATTGGGTAGCCACGTCCTGAAAAATGTTTGCGTCCTGCCCTCTCCCCACCCAGCTATTTATTAAATTTCGCTTTGTGTTGTCTAGCTAATGAGGGCTAATTGTTTTGCACGGCTATATATACTTATAACGGGTTTTGTTGTTCGTGCTTTCAAAGTGGGTGAGGGAGAGAATTAGGAATTGAAAATGAATTTTAAACAATTAAGGAGGCTTGAGTGAGATAAATGATGGAGGGCAAGTTTGGTCGTTTTCAGTCGTGTCCGACTCTTCCTGACTCCATTTGGAGTTTTCTTAGCAAAGATACTGGAGTGGTTTGCTGTTTCGTTCTGTGTGTGTGGAAGCGTGCTTACGTGTAAACTAAAGAAAGATTTCCCTGTTCTAAAAAGTTATCCTGGTCACCCAGCTACCCACTCTGGAAAGAGTTATGAGGATTAATGAGTTGGTTATTATATAATAGCATTGAATTCTTCAGATGATTAATGGAGCACTTTGTAGTTAGTACCTATTACGGTGTCAAACTCCCCTCCTTTTAGGCCCAGGGAGGAAAAGTAGATAGTAGAAAGTAAGATAAGAGACCATTCAAATATAGATCCTCTGATTTCAAAATGTAGTAAATTTTGAATACTCAAGTCTGTTGTATGATAAATGTGACTTAAATCTAACATGCTTGTAGGACCTTGGATTTGGACTAGTCACTAACATTTTCTGAGCTTCAGATTCCATCTTTGTAAAATGGGTATAATAATACCTACACTACCTGCTTCTTACGTTGCAGAAAGGATAAAATAACAGGCAAAAGGATTTGCAAACTATAGAGCACTATATAAATGGTAGCTATGGCTACTCTATTCTTAAAAGTTACAAAAGAACTTTAAAAACCATTATCATGTCTCTCCCCACATACATCAAATAAAAGCTTTTCTACTTCTTTCAGCCGATCCAAAAGAAAATTACCCAAGCGCTTGCTTTTCTTTATCGTTTGGCTCCATTAACACCTGTTGACTATCTAATTTGCTGGCCCTTCAGCTGTGCATTATTTAGCTGAACCACTAAAAATGTCTGTTGGGTGTGACCAAGATCATAGAATAGGCTGCTGGTCTGGAGACTGCTGATCTTGTCACTATCTCAACACTTGTCTTCTTCACAGTTAGAGCTCAAGGGTGATACCAGAAAGGCTTCAAGGGAAGCTGTTGGCTTTTTTTTTTTGCGTGCTAAAAGAAGATATTACTAGTTACTAAAAAGAGGCAGAATTTCACTTAGCTAAGTATAATATTTTCCAATGTAAGAACTCTTTTCAATCATAAAATGTGAGATTTGGCCTGGACATGAGACATTATTCCATTCAACCTCATTTTGAAGAAGTGTAACCTGAGACACAAAGAGGTTAATTAACTGTCTTGTCTAAGGAATAACATATTTTAACATTTGGGCATCAGGATTATAGGATTTAGAGCTCATCGGAACCTTAGAAATCACCTAGTCTAGCCCCTACATTTGACAAATAAGAAAATTCTGGTCCATATAAATTAAATGCCTTGCCCAAGGTCATATGTGTAGTATAATAACAGGACTGAGATGTTAAGCCAGGTCCTCTGCCTATAAATCTGGGGGGGGGGGTTCCACTCCAACATTTCTTTTATTTGTTAAATTTCAGTAAGCCCAGAGGCAAAACCAAAAATCAGGCTGTGGCAAGAGTTTAATACAAACCATGCAACATGAAATCTATGATCAGGTGGGAAAAAAATCAGACATTCTCTGCTTGGCCCTGGGGCAGAGTTCAAAATTAGGAGTAGTGGATGGACATTGTATAGAAACAGCTTTTGCCTTAATTTAAGGAAAATTTTCCTAACAGAGCTATCCAGAAGTGGAATAGACTCTCAAAATGAATCCAAGGGATTTGTGTAAATAAAGGCTGGACAATCACTTGTCATAGATGTTGTAAAAGGATTCTTGTTCAGACAGGTCTTGACGTAAATGGCTTCTGAGGTCCCTTCCAGCTCTGAAATTCTGTAATTTTACGTCAACTACTGCATAAATATCAGGATGACAGGTGTGGTATTCAATGCCCAGTCTTTATTCCTGTTTGTACCCATTTGAAAAGGTTATTCTGTGTGTTCTCAATTGTCCATAGCAATCACGGGGAGAAGCAGTATAAATAATAGTAAAATTATTTTTATCTGGTTTTGAAATTAATTTTAAGGTTTTGCTTGAGATTTAACTTTTCTAATGTACTTTTCCTTAAAGTTCCTTTACATCCTATAAGCACATTCTGGTGAGCAAAAAGGTGAGAGTCATGAAAAAAGTATTGGGGAGAAGTTACCCTGTAATGAAAAACTGACCACAGTTAAAACAATAAGTGGATAAGATATTATGCAATTTGTTTAATGCCATTCCACTACTATATTCTTTTATTTGTCTAATTTCTTTAAGCCCAGAGACAAAACCAAAAATCAGGCTGCAGCAAGCATTTTAAGAGCAATTTATAATGCAAATCATGCAATTTATAAACCATGTATGTTTCCTTTATTTTTACAAGAAAGGAAAATCATATTAATTCTCTAAAGGTAAGGCAGACATTCATTCAATACATATTTGTTGTTTAGTTGTTTTCAGTTGTGTCCAACTCTTCATGACCCCATTTGGGGTTTTCTTAGCAAAGATACTGGAATGGTTTGCCATTTCCTTCTCCAGCTTGTTTTACAGATAAGGAAACTGAGGCAAACAGGGTTAAGCAACTTGCCCAGGGTCATACAGCTAGTAGGTGTCTGAGGCTGGGTTTGAACTCAGGAAAATGAGTCTTTCTGTCTTCAGGTCCAGCACTCTATCCACTGTGCCATCTAGCTGCAAATATTTATTGAGTACCTCCTATATGCCAGGTATTAGGTTAGGTACAGAATGTAAAAACAAAGGAGAAAAAGACTCAACATTTGTTCTCTAGGAAGTTACAGCCTAGTACATAGAACTATTATACAAGGTAGAATGTGGAAATGCAATGAGATGGACAAAGTTCTCTGGGAATTGACAGAAAACATTCTGGGTTTAATCAAATCAAAGAAAGCATCTAGGAAATGGATTTGATCTGAGCCTTGTAGGATGAGGAAATATGGGGAAATGTATAAATCCCATAACCAGAAAGATGGAACAGCTGGGTTTTTTTTCCCCCAAAATTCCTTCAACCTCAAAAATTCAAAAGAATGATATTATCTGTAAGTTAGACAGATGATTAGATGTAGACTAGAGTGCTGGACTGGGAAGTTAAAAGACACCTGGCTTCAAATCTTGCCTCTTCTCAGCATGTTTTAAGATATCTGACCTTGTGGGCAAATCATAGATCTCTGAACTTCCATTTCATTTGTAAATTGGGGTAGATAAGAATATGGAGTACCTACTTCACAAGGTTCATTCTTAGTATCAAATAATGTTAATTTATGTAAACTGCCTTACAAACTTTAGGGCATTATAGAGTTTTCAGATGTTATTTCTATAGCCCAGTCAAGAGGTAATGAGTGACTGAACTCCTTGCCAAGGCAAACCCCTTTACATCCACAATCCACCCAGTTCCATTCTGTCTTCTCCAGCAGATTGCCCCCATTACTTCCACTCTCACTAATCCTCAATCTCTCCCCATCTATCGGCTGCTTCCCTACTACCTACGAACTTGCCTGTGTCTCTACGTCTTTAAGAAACTTTCCTTTGATCATTCCATTGCTACTTAACTTTTGCCTTCTCTTTCTCTCCTTTTTGTGACTCAACTCCTTGAGAAGGCTGCTTACAATCAGCATCTGTACTTCTCAATCTCTTAACTCTCTATAATCTGGCTTCTGATCTCATCATTCAACTGAAACTGCTCTCCCCAAAGTTACTAATGATCTCTTAACTGACAAATCGAATGGCCTTTTCTAAGTTCTTATCCTTTTTGGACTTCTCTGAAGCTTCCAGCACTGAGGCCTGTTTCTCTTGGCCTCAGAAAAGACCCTACTCCTTAAAGTATGATCTCTCACCTGTTGTTACAAGCAAAGGTGTCAGTCATACTGCCAGAAACGGAGCAGCTGAAACAAGATGGATGGTGGAAGCTGTCCAGGTCTTTTGGAGCCTTCACAGTCAATCAAAGAGCTTCTCATTCTCCGTGTGGTAAGCCACCCAAAGATACAGGTACAAAATGTCTACAGCCAAGAGAATCAGGCACTATGCCAAATTCTCATTATATAAAGATGGAAAATCCATTAACCAGCTTTCAACTTCCCAAAAGAAATGATTCTTACCAAAAACAAATACTTTGCAAATACCTCAAATCACAAATACTCTATTTAGAAAAACATAGTCAATTTTATTAAAGAAACAGTACAGGTATTCAAATATAATGATTATATATAACAGCCCAAATGGATTTTTAAAACATGTTTAACAGAAAAATGTGCAACTATCTATTAAGTTTCAGATCTAAACAAGGTGGGCAAGGGCTGACCTAAGAACTGGTACTAAGTCCCTCAAACATGCCTCACCCCTTTAAAATCAGGCAAGTCCTAGGACTTCCCAGACTAGTGTCTTGATCATGAGGCAGGACTAGGGATAGCTGAATACATTGCACCCCTTCCCCTCTTGCTCAAGTATTGATAATCAAAACATTGCTGTTGCTTGACCAACCATGATTCCAGAGAACTAATGAGAAAGCATTCAACTGACCTCCTGAAACATGAACTCAGGGTGCACAATGAGACATTTTTTGGACATGGCCAACATGGGAATTTGTTTTAATTGACTGCATATGTTACAAGGATTTTTTTTTCTTCCTAGTTGGGAGGGAAATAGTTTTTAACTGGAAAAAAATGTTTAAAATGTTAAACATTATCATTGCTACTGAGGGCATGATGCTTACTGCCCTATGACTCCATTAGATGTCACTTGGTATATATCTTCTGTACACATATGATTTCTCTGTAATAGAATCTAAGCCCCTTCACATGGACTGTTGCCATTTTGGCTTTCTTTGTATTTGTAGCTATGGCAGTGTAGTGGATAGAAAATCTGACCTCAGTGTAGGAAGACCTAGGTTCAAATTCCACCTCTGACTCTGGGCAAGTCACTTAAACTTCCTTGTGTTCTAGGAAACTCAAAGGCTATAAGTTGCAGAGAAGGTGCCAGCCTGAACTGATAAAGAGTTCCCTCACCTGGGGACAGAAGAGCATTGAGTGCTTAGTGCATATCATAACATGGGCTGGCGACTCAACTACAAGCAAGGCGGTTTCTGCTCTCACTTAGTCTAATGAGGGAGACCACACATAAAGGGAAGGTGAAAGGAGAGGGACAACAATGTGAGTGTAGAGATGGACAGAAAGTAGCACTGAGACCCAGTCCTAATAAAGTGAATGTTTAATCTATCACAGCAGAGTCGCAGGGGCAAAATCCAAGGTTCAGGGGAGGGGGATAAGATAATGGAGACAAGTGGTGTATTGTGGAGATGACCAAGAGTACTTTATGCCAATGAAATCATAGGTCTGATTTCTATTCCCTCATCCCTGATACCTATTACAATACATGGCATATAGCCAGCATTTAATTAATGCTTGTTGAACTGAACAGAATTCGATTGCATCCACATTAATGACCATATCGTCTCTACCAAGACAAGGACACAGCCTCATCTTATTGAAATGGAAGTTATAAATGAGGAGGCTTTGCAATATAGAGGACAGAACACCAGTTTTGTAGTCCGAAGACTCTGGTCCAAATCTAACACTATGGCTATTTGCTGTCCATGTGACACTAGCAATTTAAACTTTCTGGCTAGTAGAGTTTCCTTATCCATATAAGAACAGGATTGGGCTAGAAGAATTCTAAGGTCACTTTTAGTTTCAAATCATATAATTCTAAACTGGAAGCTGGTGATAGGAGTGTTTGTAAGGAGGGACACCATAGCTCTCTTAACACATTCCAAGTGTCTTCTGCTTTAGAAAGCAGAACTAAGGGCAACAGGAAAGAGTATAAGAAGTATTCATTCATCAACAGAGCTTTGGAACAGAGATGTAAAACAATGCAATGGGCTGCCTTACAAAGTAGTATTTTATGCAGAGATTAAGTTACCACCTCAGGGATATATAAAAGGGATTCCTACACTGGAACTTCTGTAATGTTCACTTAATAGGATTAATATACCTATTTTTAAAAATTAACTTTCTTTTAAAATATCACATACAGGGTCAATAGCTTGCTTTTATACAGTAGCCAATTGGCAATACATTTTCCTCACATTACTATGAAACAAGTGATGCAAGTATTATTCCCATTCTACAGATGAAAAAATGGGAACACAGAAAGCTTAGGTGAGCTGTTCATGGTTTCATAGGAAGTGGCAGAACCAGGGCCTGAACCATGGCCACTTTTCTCATAAACTGGCTTATTCACACTTAGATAATCCTAAGGAAATACTTTTGTTTCAAATGGGGCAGGTCACACTGTATTTTCATGAGCTAAACATGTCCTGAACGTGTGAAAACGCATTTACAAAGTGCTACGTGCAAAGCAAGGCTCTAAGTGTTGGGGATAAAAACAGAAAAGCAAGAATGCCCCTCTTGTCAAGCTCTCACATTCTAACAGAGGAGACTCCAATAGACACAGGAGCATTCAGCAGCAGGGCAGCTGATAATGCATCCTCTATATGGGCACTTCCATTGATGAAACTAACTTCTGATATTTAAACACTGTAGTACCAAGGACTTTGGTGGCAAGAACTTTTTCATGCTACAGAACATAAAGACTATAAAATGAGGGAATGTTTTTTTTTAAAAGATTGTAAGATTTTAGACCTATATAGTTTTACAGATTAGAAAAATGAGATATGTCCCTCCCCCAAGAGAATCCTTTAGATCACTGAGGCAAATGTTCTGATGGTGCTTATCTAAGCCATTCACCAGTCACTGTGGATAGTTACTATATAAACAAATACACTTTCTGCATCAACAGTCTCAAAGGGAAAACAAAAACCAAGAGGTGTAAATAGACACAACTTAAAACTCTGTTTTAACCAAGAACCTCTGAAGGTTAAACAAAATAAATGGCAGATGTGACCATTTACAATTTTTCAAATGTCATTAGAAGTACACTGAAACTTGCCTCATTAATCTTCCATCATTCTGTATAAACAAAGGCCATCTTGCCGGATCTAACTACTTAAATAGCCAAGGACCACTTCGTAATTCCACAACACGGAATCCAAGCCTGGCTAAATTTCTTCTGTGTATCTAGCTAGCAAACACCAGCATAAACTTGATCCTCATGCTAAACTTTCACTCCTTAATCCCCTATGGACTCTTACTAACATTGAATCCTATATGGTATAACCTCCCATCTTTAGAAAAGCATAGTCCTTTGACCTCACAGGAGGCACAGACTGAAATTTCAGATAACACACTAGGTTGCCAGCTTTCCCAGACTTTATTCCTGCCATTCTTTATCCTTTTTTCATGTAATCTAATACTGCAAATCCAACTATCTGGTTTTTGTATTTCACTCACATAAACACTCCCTACCCATAAAAAAGTGTTCTTTAGGTAATCATCCCATTACTTAAACCTTGCCTTACAAAGAAAAAAAAAAGTTCTAACTCACATTTAAGAAAATTGTTACTTTATTCTATCAGACTAAAAATAAAATCCATTTTCCTTACTGCTTCCCTGTTCATCTTTATAGGCTTTAAGTATTTGGTTCTCTGTGCAGCCGCATTAAGCATTCACCTTTCTTACTTTGCTATTTCAAAACAGTCAGAAAACTGGTTAGGACACAATTCCACTGCAATGAGCAGACTGTGTACTGTGTCTCTTCACCTTTGTTGAGAATACTGAGTCATACGTCAGCTACGATTTGTTTCCACTCTTGGTAGAAGGGATGAAATCAACACTTTAAATGTTACCCTTCCCTGCATCATTTACAAACTCTTTCAACTTTTTTTGTAACAATTTTACAATCTTATTTTTTATTTTTTTAGGCAATTGAGGTTAAGTGACTTGCCCAGTGTTCACACAGCTAGTGAGTGTCAAGCATTTGGTCTGAGGCCGCATTTGAACTCAGGTCCTCCTGACTTCAGGGCCCGTGCTCTATCCACTGCACTACCTAGCTGCCCCAATAATTTTACAACTTTTAAAAAATATTTTTTCACTTGATTTCTCACCACACTGATAATCTCCATCTCTATTTATTCTACATTTGAACTTGAAAAGAATAGGGTTAGGACTTCTGAAAAGATTGTAAATTCAAACATTATTTACTTTACATAACAAAAATATTACATATTTTATGTTACCATATTATATACACTTAACACACTAAGGCCTCTAGAATACAAGAAGCTTTTGTATATGTGCCATATGAATTTCTCATATGTAGAAATTCCTTACTTTTACTCAAAAACAAAAATAATTAGGAGAAAATTGAGAAATAATGATTTCATTACAAAGACTTCTTGAATTTTCAAAGATTTATTCAGTGATTTGTACTTTCTTTTTTTTCTTCTTTTCTAGTATACCTTCCAATTTTCTTTTCTTGACAGACACTACATTTTCTGCTTTTGTTGGTTTTTTATTATCCTTAGTCCAACCAAATTTCTTGGATTGTTGTTTTCCTGCTGAATCATCAGACTTTGGGGGGCTAGTTTTGAACTCTTGTTCTTCTTTGCTTACTGAAACACAACAAAAGTGACAGTAAAGAAAAACTAAGGTGTTTCTTTTTTTCCAAACACCAAGACAAATCATCTAAATAATGAAATGCAGAATAGATATACCAATTTCTCATCTAGAGCACATCTGCATTAACAGGTCAGTGGAACTCAAAATTTAGTTGCTTCCTTCACAGTATTCTTTGCCACAAGGAACTGTGATAGACTGAATATTTAAGTCAGCAAAAAGGAAGGGATTCTGGGCAATCAAGCCCCTGACCTGGGCCCTCTCCTTCCTCTTGATCTCTTTTTTACCAAGACTCAGTGGCTTTGCACCTCTGAAGTTAGAATTACTATTGTGACCTTCCTAAAAATCTGGGAAGAGCAGGCAGCAAATTGCAGCTGAGGCGGACACTTCTAGATTCAAGGCCCACCTAGCAAAACTCTAGGCACAGCAGTGCACCTTTTGAGAGCCACTGCAAAAGATAAATTCAAAATTTTAAATGTAATAGAAGTGATCATCATCAGTTACCAGGAGAAGGGGCTGCAGCTGTAGGAAGCTGGTCTTTGGTGTCTGTAACGCTGTCTAGCCATACTCCAAGGCAGGTGAGTCTGGCTTTAGTGTTTACTTCACATAGTAAAGATGGGGGAGTCTTCTGAAGCAGTAGGAAAATAAAACTGAAAACATGTTAATGTTGGATTCTTTTAATGCAATTAGATTTTTCACTTCATTAAGAAAACAGTATGACTTTAAGATTTCATGCCATAAGCAACATTAACTTTAAAATAATTTCTTTTGGTTTTCATTTCAGTATTAGAATTCGCATAACTATAAAAGGTAAAAACTTCATAATAAGTAGTAAAACATGGATAAAAATCCTGAAATACATCAATCTAGTAATAAAGCACAACAAATTATCATTTCCAAGTCTTGACTATGAAGTGACAAGTCAATTCACTTCATGGAGTAGTTAAGAGAACAAAAACCCCAGCATAAGAAAAGGCTTTGAATCAATCATTGCAGTTCTTTGTAAAGTCATCTGATATGACATGCAAAATTACTAGAAACTACACACATTACATGAAAACACTTTACAACAAAACCTACTGTCAGGATTTTAAAGACTGTGGCCCTGACTATATATACCATTCACTTTTTCTCCCTTGGTCTCGTGCTAATGGAGCAGCAAATAGAGTGGAGTCAGGCACCAGAGATCAAATCCACTCAGACATTTACTAGCCGTGTGACCTTAAGCAATCATTTAACCTCCATGTGCCTCAGTTTCCTCAACTGTAAATAACAGTATCCTATGTACCAGGTTTGTTGTGAGGATTAAATGAAATAACATTTGTAAAGTGCTTAGCACAGTGCTTGGCACAAAGCAGGCATTTCATAAATGCCAGCTATTATCGTTGATTGTCCTCTTTTTACCTCAAAGTTACAGAATTTAAAATCTGGTTCAATGATAAAAGATGAGTGAGATGGGATTTTTAAAAGATCACAAATAGCAACCTAGAGTTACTAAAATATAAACTTGAAAAAAATCTTAAAATAAAAAAATTAAGTCCCAGACTCATTTCATACACCAGATGTGTCCCTCAGGAAAGTTTTATTCAAAATCACTGTGGTTTGTAAAACTGCAGACCAGAATTTAGAAGTGGAAGGAGGCTTGAAAATGACCTAACCCCCTATTTTATAGATAAACAAATCGAGGCTCATATTAGGGGAAGTGACTTGCCCAAGATCACACAGATAAGCAGCAGAATCAGGATTTGAACCCAGATCCACATACTTAAAATCCTTCTCTTTCTATGCCTCTGGCTAACACAACATTAATGAAAGCTTATTTCCTAAGTTTATTACTTTCCTCTCTGAATTTTAAAAAGGAATCAAGTTTATCATAATTCACATCTGGGCCAGTGAATTTACTCATTTAGCTCTGAAAATCTACAGTGTTAATGGGAATCAATAATTAATTATGAAAACTTCCCAAAGGCTAAATACATCTACAATGTAAAAAATGCCAAACATCACAGAATAATAGAACAATTCAGATGGAAGTAATTTCACTTCCCAACAATAAGATTCATAGTTGTTTTAGATATTAGCTGTAATATTTTGTATTTGCCTAATACTTTATTACAGTGCTTTCCTAACCCATTTGATCCTCATAAGCAACCTGATAGGTGCAACAGGCATTTAGAATGGGAAAAAACATGTGTGTCCCTAGGCCATTTGAAAATTCTGTCTACTGTGTCTTATGGTGGGTTTCTAAGCCCTCCACAGAAATGAATGCATAACTCATGCGCGCGCGCGCGCACACACACACACACACACACACACACACACACACACACACACACACAGAGTCTAACTCCCTCAAGTCACAGAGTTAAATTTTCTGGCATTTAGATGGATTCATAAAAGATCATAAATAAAAGCATTTATCAGTACAACTGACTGTCATTCTAGAAAGATGGCCTATGCATAGGCCTGGCCCTATGGGGATTATCCCTATTTTCCAGATAAGGAAACTAAGATTTCAAAAGGTACCATGGCTGTCCAAGATCATAGGGTTATTAAGAGTTAAGGTTCAGACTTGGCAAGATAAAGAGAAAACTAACAACCAAAACTGCTGTGAGAGACCTATTACACTGACCTATATTTGTATTATGCTAGCATACTGACCTTAGCTGGATTATGCCTCCACATTTTGATGAAGCCATCACTCGATGCTGTAACAATAACATGATGCTCTGGGACTTCAAAGCTGCAAATGTCTTTTACTCTAGAAGAGAAATTAATCTGATGACAAATTGCTCCTCAGCTCAAAGAGCTACATTTGAATGGGATAGGAGAGGGAATCAAGATACACTTAACTGGAAAGTACTATAGAAATACAGCGTAGAAGTTTTAGAGAGTGTGGCAGTAGGCCCTGGGAGGGCTGAAAAAGGGCTGCAGATGGTGCTTGAGCTAAAAGACCTAGCCTTAGCAAAAAGAAGGGCCACATCATCATCAGAGGTTAGAGTGAAGTTAGTAAGGGATAAAGTCAGAAATATGTGAGATTAGGTGTCTATGTCCATTTGATTGTGACAATAGAAAATGAATAAAACTAACAATACTGACTCTATTTATCATGACCTCTTAGGAAACATTTAACAGATGTAAAGTAGTAACCAAATGCAAACGAGTCCACAAGGCTAAAAACCACCTCAGTAGGCAGCCTGGTGGTCCCCTCTCCTAGGGGCTTACCATACTGGAGCTGGACTTAATGAGGACATCCAATTAGCTCTAGCACAGTGCAGCTTAGAACTCCCAAACTCAAGTGATCCACAGGCCTTAGCCTCACCAGTATAACAGGGGCTGCAGGAGTGCACCACCATGGCTTAGGCAGTAACATATTGCCAATGCTGAAAAACTAGCATCAAGGAAAGCACATGTGACCAGAAAAATGGTGGGGGGGAAGGAAGCAATCATGAAGCAAAAACAAGAAATAACAGCTGAGTAGTCCTGGTTCTGCACTGGTACCCTCAAAATATTAATGAAGACCAGAGGACAGGCTCTGGCAAGCAGAATTCCTCTGGAGGATTCACAGAATGAACAGTACCTTTGGTACCTCCTTGCCTGGTCAGTGCCATTGATCTGTTTTCCCATCAGAACCAAATTAATTTTAATAACTAGTGTGAGGTCTAGAAGGGCTGTTCTCATTTCATTCTTTTCATTGATTCTCTTGATTTTCTAGATTTTTTTTGTTTCTCCAAATAATTCTGTCATGTTATTTGCTCTGTAAAGTATCCACCTTGGTAGTTTGGTATAAAAATAAATCTGTACATTAATTTTGGTAGTATTGCCATTTTTGTTATATCAACATAGCTTAGATATGAACAATTAACATCTCTCCAGTGATTTAAATTGTTTTTTATGTCTTTGAGGAGCATTTTGTAAATATAACACTGTAAAAACAAGCAACTTTCAAAGCTGTAAGGACTATAATCAATACAAAAACCATTCATGATTCCAGAGGACTGATGATAAAAAAAATGCTCTCCATTAGAGACATGACAGATTTAAGGTACAAAACGAGACATTTATTTCGTATATAACTCTTGAGGGAAAATTGACTGCATATACTTGTTACAAGAATTCCCCCCCCCCAAACAAGTGAGGAGTGGGAGGGAGAAAAAATAGATTTCTATTACTTTTCTAAAAACAGAGAGGTGAATGTGAAATGTCACAAGCACTTTCAGATGAGGTCACTGCATTATTAGTTTTATGTTGTTATAAAAGATCTCTCATAAAGTGGGAATTATCTGTAAATGTATAAAATGTAAAAACATATAAATAAAACTTTTTAAAAATGTATCTACACAGGTGCCTTGTCAAACTGGCTCCCAGATATTTTGTGCATGTTGTAGTTATTTTGAGTGGGACTTCTCTATTATTCCCAGTTTTAAAAAAAATTGTTATTCAGAAATGCTGTTGATTTTTATGGGTTTATTTTGAATCCTAACATCCTAATGAAGCTATTGTTGAAATAATTTCTTTGTTGATAGGATTTCCTAAATAAATTATTTCATCAGTAAAAGGGGGGTTGTTGTCTGCTTTTTTGCCTATCTTTATTTCTTCTTTTTTCTCTTGTATCATTGCTACTGCCAGAATTCCTAGAAAAAAAGGGGGGGGGGAAGGGGTATCACTGTTTTACACATCATTGAGAAAGCTATTATTTTGTCATTGCATGTAATGCTTATTTGGGGTTTGATAGAGATATATATATATATACTGCTTTGTAAGGTTTTCTGCATAAATGAGTATTGTATTCTGTCAAAGGTTTTTCTATGTCTATTAAAGATATCATGTAGCAGGGCAGCTAAGTGGCACACTGGATGGAGCACCAGCCCTGAAGTCAGGAGGACCTGAGTTCAAATCTGGCCTCAGACACTTGACACTTCCTAGCTGTGACCCTGGGCAAGTCACTTAACCCCATCGCCTAGCCAAAAAAAAAAAATCATGTAGTTTAGGGATTTTTTTTTAATATGATTATGTCAATTTCCCCCCTAATTTTGAGCCATCCTTGCATCCCTGATAAAAATCCAACTTGGTCATGGTGAAAGAACTCACTATCTGACAAAGATTTCTGAGGAAACTAGACAGCTGATTGACAGAAATTAGGGTTAGACCAGTACTTGCACCATATACCACAATAAATGCAAAATGGATACACATAGTATTAATAATCATACCATTAAAAAACTGAAATAAACAGAAAACCAAAACTATATAAATGGAAAGAACAGCAAAAAAAAATCAATGCTGAATGCTATGAAATTATAGTGATCAAGCTTGGCCCTAATTTCTTCCTTCTTTTCAGAAGTAGTAAATAACAGGTATGGAACACTATAGATAACATCAAACTTTTTTTGTGTCAGTCAGTTTTGCTAAACTATTTCCCTCCCCAATCCCCCCACCCCCACCCTTTTAACTCTGATATTAGTAATGGCTTTCTGGGAAGAGGATAGTGGGAAGGATTCATAAGTTTAAAATATATTTTTTTATATATATATATTTATATATATATATTTTATATATATATATATATATATATATATATATACACACACACACATATACATACACACACACACATATATGTATGTGTATATATACATATACATATGTATCTATATATCTATATACCTATATGTATCTATATCTATATATATATATGTATGTGTGTGTGTATCTATATCTATATCTATAGATATAGATACACACACATACACAATTTTTTTTTAAATGAGAGACTATAATCTGCACAGGTGGAGGAAGGCAATACCTACATTGGTGAGATCATAGATCCACTGATGGATCTACTGATAATACAATAGTATTATAGTGGTACTGTAGATATACAAGTCAGAAGACTTGAATTCAAATCTGGTTTCAGATTCTTACTAGCTGTGTGATCCTCTGCAAGTCACTTTACCGCTGTCTGCCTCAGTTTCCTCAGTTGTAAAATAGGGATAACACAGCACTACCCAGGGTTGTTGTGAGGATCAAATGAGATAATAGTTGTAAAGCTCTTATCACAGTGCCTGGCACATAGTAGGCACTTAATATATATGCTACTGAAGTGAGGAAAGTAGGGCACTTAATAAATGTTTGCTTCCTTCCATCCTATTATAGGAACTGTCACTTATATTGATGTCATCCTAAAGCTACTGATCATCATAACTTCAGGTATTGTAATATATATTTTTATATGCATACACATTTTAAAATTCCACAGCAGTTACTGCCACAAAGTATTCCATAACATATTTTTAAAATCTCTGATCTCAAAAGGCATGGAGTATATATTTGTTCAGTCATTTTTCAGTTGTGTCTGACTCTTTGTGACCCATTTGGGGTTTTCTTGCAGAGATACTGGAATAATTTGTCATTTCCTTCTCCAGCTCATTTTACAGATGAGGAAACTGAGGCAAACAGGATTAAATGACTTGCCCAGGGTCACATAGCTAGTAAGTGTCTGAAGCCAGATTTGAACTCAGGAAGAAGAGTCTTTCTGATGCCAGGCCCTGCACCTTATCCACTGTGCCACCTAGCTGCCCTTGGGGATATGAATGTGTATGAATATATGAATACATATGCATCTAAGTGTAAACACAGACACTTCCACATAGAGGAAAAAAAAAGAAATAAGCTTAAGTGTTAAGAAGCAAATACCTGTTTTCATGAGCCTTAAATTCACAGAGACATTTTAGTGAATCACAATCAAACAACCTTACAATTTCTTCATCTCCAGCCACAGCAAGTATGGAACCCTAAGAAGAATAAAAAATAGGATAACATACGTAAATATCGAAAACATAAACACACACACAGACTCTAGAATTCCACTGTTAGTTTTATGTACTTACTGAAATAAATGTAACAGAAGAAATTCTCTTTGCAGTAGTGATGGTACCAATAATGGATGCAGTTTCAAGTTGGTAGATGTCTATCTTGTTTATTGTGACAACTATGTACTTCTCTCCACTAGGGGACCATTCAACTATGTGAGCATCTATAGTTTTAAAAGTAATTAAAGAAATATTTGTCTAATGAATAAAAATCACAAAAACAGAATAGTTATTTCTACAAACTTTACTATAGAAATTAGGAAAATAGAGGACCAAAGTAACTTCATAGATTTAAGACTGAAATGGACCTGAGAGCTCGTGTAGTCCAATACTCCCATTTTACAGGTGAGGAAAATGAGGCTCAGAAGTAAAGCTAATTTGCCCAAGATCATTAAGGTGTCAGGTGAAAAAGCTAGGATTGGAACCCACGTCTTCTGATTCCAAATCCAGAACTTTTTATACTGTATCACACTGCTCCTTCTTACCTCCATAAATAATTTTTCAGGTAAAACTGCCAATCTGTACAAAACTACTTTAATTATACCTAAACACAATCTGACAATATAAAATCAAGAGCCATTCCCCAATAGATTTACTAGTTAAAATATTCAAAGAAGTTTTTTTTAATAGTAGCAAAAACCTGGAAATAAAGTGGAAGTCCATCAATGAGAGAACATCTGAATAAATTGTGACATATGAATACAAATGAATTTTATTCCCCAATTTTAGATCTATGGTCCTCTGGCATTATTAAGAAATTAACAACAAAAAAAAAAGACCAATATGAAAAATCCGGAGATTCAGGAGGATTCGAAGAAACTTACATGAAGTGATGAAATACAAAGTTAAGAACCAGAAGAACAAACTTAGTCATGTTTGTAATATAGTAAACAAAAGCAACCCTAATGCATACAAATTCTGGTTAACTGCAATGTTTAATCTCAGTCCCATGGAGCTGATAATGAAACACACCTCTCTCTTTTTTGTTTTTGTTTTTTATTTTTGGCTAGGCAATGGGGTTAAGTGACTTGCCCAGGGTCACATAGCTAGTAAGTGTTATGTGTCTGAGGCCAGATTTGAACTCAGGTCCTCCTGACTCCAGAGCCGGTACTCTATCCACTGCGCCACCTAGTTGCCCCCACTCCTCTCTCTTTTTGACAGAGGTGGGAGACTATATGGATATGAAATGTGATACACACAGTGATATTGCTTGGTATGTCTACTGTTTTTACTTAAATGTTTTTCTTTGTTTCAAGGGAAATTTCAATTAGGGGAGGAGGCCAAGGGTTGCTATTAAGCAGAAATGACTGTTATAAAAAAGACAACATAAAATTTAAAAAACAAAAACATTCTGACAACAGAATACTCACTTTGTTTTATATTTTTTATGAATGCCGATCTTCCTTCAATAAGATTCCATGTTCTATAAAACAAGGTTTTTTTGGCATCAATATAATTACAACTAATGCTTAACAAATACTCAATGTTTGAATGATGCTAACAGGAAGCTAAATCAATGAAGTGTTAATCAAAACAAATACAGAGGAAAATTATACATTATTTTGTTAAAAACAGTTCATCTCAGTTTTTTAGATAACCTACTGTCTTCTCTAACAATATCTGAAGAATTTATTACCCCATAATATTACAGTTTAAGAGTGTCTTGCTTCAATGTCTATGGGAAAATTTTAATATGGTAGATTCAGTATCGGTCATCATTTCCACTTCATATTCACAATAACAAACACGTTACTAGGTGTTGATCCAAGAGTGATGTTCTCATCTTAAGAGTTTTATTATTACTATAAAACTTTTCTTCACATCAATATAACCTTAAGAGACTAACAGTTATGACACAGAAGACATAAAAAAGAAAAGCACCCAACTAAGGTAGTAAAGTATGCTGCAGTAAAAGTTACTTGTTTTGCTTGGAGACCATGACTAATTCTACTACTAATAACTAAAAATTTGGTCAACTATTACTTACCGTAATGTCTTGTCTGTTCCCACTGACAGTGCTAATTTGCCAGATGGATGAACAGAAAGGGAAGTCACATGTCCCCTAAAAAAAAAAAGACTATAGTTCAGCATCCAATTTTAGTTGCCAAGTTAAGAATTCCAATGGAGGGGAAAAGGTTCAGACTCACTTATGTGCTTTAATAGACTTCAAGCAGTCCCATCTCTTTGCATCCCAAACACAAATTAGTCCATCTTCTCCTCCACTAATTAAGTGCCCATTACCAAAAAATTTCAGGCAATTTATTGTGCCTATCAACAAAAAAAAGTCAAAGTTGCTGTAATTACATTATTACTATACTTTTCAGTTAAAGTTCCATTTTATAATGTTATGTACATATATGAGATGCTAACAAGTTAGCATTGTTAAAACTGGAAACTATTAACTTGGACAATTAAATATTTCATCTATCGGCATGTTTTACTTCAAAAGTCCTGATCTGACACTTTTAAGTTTAAATAATAAGTAAGTATATTATAGTAAAAAGTTCACTAGATTCAGTCAAAGGACTTGGGTTCAAATCCTTGCTCTTCTACTTAGTTATCTGTTTCCCTTTGGTAAGTCATGTCACCTCTCTGGGACTGTTTCCTCATTCTGTAAAAATGAAGGTACTAGAATAGGTGACCTCTAAGTTTCCTTCCAGCCAAATATATAAACCTATCACTGGCTTCTCCCAATGTGTGGGTGGATATGTATTGTTCTGAGCATAAATGACTGGCTAGAGAAAGCGGAGAAATCCATGACTAGGAAACTTGTTTCCTGTATTACCTAACAACACCCGAAGTGAATGGCGAATTCAGAGCAGTGGCCTTATAAGTACAGTCTTAATGGATAGAGTGCTGGACCAAGAGTCAGAAAGACCCGAGTTAAAATCCTGACTCAAACATTTATAAGCTGTGTGATCTTGGGCAAGTCACTTGACCTTGCTAAGTCTCAGTTCCTCAACTATAAAATGACTATAATAATAGAACCTATCTCCCAGGGGTGTCAAGAGGATTAAATAACATATGTAAAGCAGGTAGAAACCATTAATGCTTTATGTACATGCTAACTATTATTATTCCAAGTGAACTAAACTGCAATAGTCTGATGTAAATGGTAATTAGTACACAAAAGGTTAGATATATTACATCAACTCTAAGGCCACCTTTGGTTCTAAAATTATGATTCCAAAGGAAACAACCATGTTGATATTTCTGCCTTCCTGAACGCTTCACGTTAGGTAAACTTATAGTTCCACTAAATATTTTAATGTAGAGGTACGGATATGTATGTAAATACAACACAAAATACCAATATAGTTACAGTAAAAGATAGAATTTCCTTACCATTATGATGCATCAATGCTCCATGTTCCACCTTTTTTTTCATATCATAGATGTGAATTGTTTCATCTTTGCTTCCAGTAACCACGAAACGGTTATTTACAGCCACTGCTGACAAGGAGGCAGCATGGCCATGGTGGGTAAAGTCAGCTACGGGGGACCATTTCTGTAAATGAATAAGACACACACTAAATCCATAGTCACAGCACATATTAATGATCATACTGATTAACTTTGACAAGGAAACAGCCTCTTTCCAATGATCAACAGAAGCTGTAAATGAGTCCTGCTATAGAGACAGCAAAAAAAAAAATTTTAAAAGCAATGAACACAATCACCAGACAAACAAAAACTGAGAACCAAATAAGGAAGGCCAGCATGTCATCTGAAAAGCTGGCAAAGTATGACACTAATACCATCTCTTCATCACGCTGAAGATTCTCTAGCCATCATCCTCATCTCTTGACCCTCCCAACTTCAGACTCTGACCACACATAAGTCATGTCACCTCTCTGGGACTCAGTTTCTTCATCCTGTAAAAATGAAGGTACTAGCATAGGTGACCCCTAAGTTCCCTTCCACCTCCAAATATATGATTTGATAGGCTTTGATAGGTGAGCTTTAGCCTTATCTTGCTTAGAACTAGGCTTCCATATCATTTCTACTATGCTGAGATCTATCAAATAACAAATGGCTTGCAATGATGATGCCTAGAAGCTCACCTATCAGTACTGAGGCAATGTTCACTGCCATACAATTTTTACACATTAAGAGTGGCAAGAGGATGATTTACATTAAAAAGTTAATGTTTATAAAAACACTTTTAAAAAGCCTCCTGCCAAGTCCTCAGTTCATGTGCATTCTGACTACAGGCTGTGAAGCAGAAAAGACAGAGGGAGTCTCGAACCCTGGCTTCCAACCCCTGAGCACATAGGCTTCGAGGCCCAGGGCACAGAGCCCTGGCCCTGACCGCTCCGGCCGCGCTCCCTGTGCACCGTGAACCCGAAAAGAACCTGCTCGTAGCAACCACTCTATAAAACAGTATTAAGCATTATGGTTACAAGGCTACTAAGGGGCAGTTAGGTCCCAAAAGCATGTCTTCTAACTCAAATGTCATAATCTAGCAAGTCACTCAACTTCTCTCACAAAAAACCCAAAATTTCTGTGAAGTACACTGAAAGCTTAACTGAAAGCAGGTCAGACAAAGAATACTCTTTTGATAAACAACTTCAAAAAATTCTAGATGAGGTACTTGAGGCAGTATTCCCAAATATAAGATCCATTAACAGAACACTAACCATGGACAGTTCCCAGAACTGGTAAACTAACAGTTCAATTATATAGGACCTTAAAGTTTCTAATACACTATCCTACAAAAACATCATGAGACAGGTACTGCAAGTCATATCATCACTACTTTGCAAATGTTGAAATGGAGTCTGAGAAAAGTTAAATGACTTGTACAAGTCATGCTAAGAAATAATTGTAAGCAATGAGGAAGGGGAGATGAAAGAATTAGAGGACATGGTCTAAAAGTGGAACTTTAGAGTTTTGAATCCTAAAGGTAGAACAGTAACTGTTGATGACAAAATTAAGGGTATGACCATTCCGCTGCGGGGCTGAGAGTGGTTTTATTTCAGGTGGTCTGACACTGTATGCCACACTGCTAAGAGTAGCTCAAGAAGCTTAAAATACAGAGAGAAATCTAGTACCAAAAAAACCCGAAAATAAAAACAAACTCACAACCTAGTAAATAATGCAAGGCAATAGAAGAGCATGGCATAATGTCGCATAGACAAAAAACATTATGAAAATCAATGAGGAAAAAAATCAGTGTAGACCTATATAATTATAACTTCGAGAAGTGAAATGGGGGGGGGAAGAAGAGGCAGGAAGGGACTGCATATGTCAGAAAAGAAGCATTTATTAAGTGCTTAATAAGTGCTAAACATTGTGCATAAGGGGACCTAACGGCAAAACTGGCAGTGGACACAACACTATTCTTGGAACTCCTAAGATTCTAGTAGAATGGCAGCTTTGCAGTTATCTCTCTTGACCTCGGTTTCTTCATCTGTACAATGGGGAAATTAACAGCTGCATGCATTGGATTTTTGTCAGCGAAGGCATCTGCAAATGTAAAGATGTTATAAAAACGGGAGCTCTATTATTGGGGAGAATGGATTTGCCCCATTTGCCCACAGAACTATGGGCCTCCTCTTTCCTCATGTGAAACCCCCGCCTCGACCTGAAACTTTTGAACAGGACTAATGAGCTTGAGTCTCCTGCCAAGTCCTCGGTCCATGTGCACTCCGACTACAAGCTGCGAAGCAGAAGAGACAGAGGGAGTCTCGAACCCTGGCCTCCAACCCCCGAGCGCATAGGCTTCGAGGCCCAGGATACAGAGCCCTGGCCCTGAGTCCTCCGTCCCTGTTCTCACCTCGCTCTGGCCGCTCCGGCCGGGCTCCCTGTGCACCGTGAACCCGAAAAGAACCTGCTCGTAGCAGCCGCAGACTAGCTCCATACTGCCGCGCACGCGCACGCGTCTCCTTCCCCACTTCCTTCCGGAGGGCGGCGTCCGGAGGCGGGGCCAGCACGCGAGTCTTCAAGGACCCTAATATGCGGAACGAAAGGGTCCTTCTCCCGTCGGCGCTCCCGGGTGACGTCACTGGGAATGCAGGGCTGTCTGCCTATGCGCCTGTGTTTCAGTCAGCACTATTCCTCACGTACGATAGTTCTATAGATTTTACCAAGAGAAAGTAAAGCAACTCTGAAAATGACAATTGAGGGGAATGGAAGGCCCTCCTGAGAAGCGTGGGAGTGAAGACAGAAGGCGTCTCATAGAGTTAGACCGGTGATGCTAGGTTAGAATCGAAACTTCCGCCGCGCCGTGACGAAAAGGCGGGTGCAGGGTAGGGGTGGGGAGAGGACTGGGAACAGATGGGCGGAGAGTGGGGGCGGGGCCTAATTGATTACGAAGGGGCGGGGCGAGGAGGCGTGGGGGCGGGGCGGAGAACGTAGTCAGGGCGAGCTGGATACCTGATGTAAGTTCACTGATCTTGGTCGGTTTCCTTTGCAGTTTTAAGGATTTTTGACCTTTGAATCATTTTAATTACGAATTTGCAGGAACTTAACTTTTAAATATATACTGTAAGTATAGATTTTATGTCCCTAAATCTCCTAAAATGTGATTCCAAGGGATGTATGACCTTCCCGTCTATCCCTAGGGCTGGTAGGGGGCCTAGAGATTCTGTAGTACAAACTCTCTTTTTTATTTATTTACCTATATCTTTTTGTTGGTAAATTTCATTGATACATTTTTTTTTAATTGCCACAGTCATTACCTATTGGAGAAGCTCCGTAGGGGAGTGGACATAGGGCTGGCCTCAGAGTCAGAAAGACTCAAATGAGATCGTGGATCAACAAAGGAACTCCGGAGGCTACCTCAGGCCCTCTGAATCCAGGGTGAGGCCTCTTCCCACTTAACACTGACTTTGGAACCCTACTCTCTCTTAAATTTCCTTATCAGAGTTCCCTATATCAATTAAATCACACTTCTATTCCAAAACAAACAAGCAAAAACCAGTACTTCTCTCCCCAGCCAATTAAATTCTCCACAATAGTTAACCAAAACATTGATTGATACAGCAGAGTCAATTAACAAGAATTTATTAACTACCTACTGTGTGCCAGGCACTGGCCCTTACAAAGACAAAAATGAAATAATCCCAGTCCCCAGAAGCATTATATATTATCAGAAGTTAACAGACTTTCTGCAACATTCTGCTTTAGCCTCAACTTCACTTCCCCTACTCCTTCCCCCAACTGGGTACACTTGGAGTCGTTAAGAAATGAGTTCAAGGAGGCAGCGAGGTGGTGCAGTAGAGTCCTGAGGACTTGAGTTCAAATTCAGTCTCAGACCAGACACTTGATACGTACTAGCTGTGTGACCCTGGACAAGTCACTTAACCCCAATTGCCTTGCAAAAAAAAAAAAGAAAGAAAGAAGAGTTCAGTCCTGTCTTAGATACTTAGTAGCCATAGGACTGTGGGCAAGTCAGAGCAAACAATCTCAACCTCAGTTTCCTCATCTCTTAAATGAAGATCATAATTGTACAAAACTCACATGGTTATTGTGAAGATCAAATAAAATTATTTTATGTAAAGCACTTTGTATACTTTAAAGTGTTATATAAATGTTAGCTGTCCTGTGGAACTAGTATTGGCCTGCAGCATTTAATCTGACTTCAGCTCTCATTCAAAGTTGTTTTCATTCATACTGTTGTTGTTTAGTCTTATTTTAATAAATAAGAACACTAAATCCCAGAGTAGTTCACCTGACTGAAGATTCCAGATCTTACCATCCAGGGATACCATCTGCCCTTCAGCAAATATTTTAAAAATACCTACCCTATGATTCAGTGCCCTGAACCAGGTAATTTTTTCACCCTACATTTTAAGATAAAATACTTGAAGCAAAGCTCAAACTAGGGAGGAATTGGAAACAAAGCCTGAAGAATAGGGGACCTTTCTTTGGGGGCAGGTATGCGGAAAGACCAGATTAAAAGGTTAGCTGGACTTTAACTCTTAAGGTATAGAGATTGCTCTTGGTGTAGGGTTAAAGCACAGTATCCACTACAGTGTTTCTCATAGCCATTTAGATGTTTGTTGATTCTGGCTTTGGGAATTGTAGAGAAGGTAGCTCCATATTTTTCTTAGCTTTCCTTCCATCTCTTACCCTCAAATCTGATTTATCCAATTCCTGTATAGGATATATGTGAGGTCTGAAAACGAAGTAACTAAAGAGTCAAGAAAAAGCTTGCCAAGAAATGCTACAAGATTTTTCCTTCCTTACCCGTGACTTCCCTTTCGTGACTTTTTCTTGGTACTAAAAATTCTGTTTAAAAAAGATAAAAAAGATTTTAAAAAGATAAAAGAAAAAGCATTTTGCTTCATTAGTTTGTTGTTTTTGAATCATTTTTCAGTCATTTACAATTCTTCATGATTGTATTTGGGGTTTTCTTGGTAAAGATACTAAAGTGGTTTGCCATTTCCTTCTCCAGCTCATTTTACACATGAGGAGCTGAGGCAAATGGGGTTAAATGACTTGCTCAGAGTCACATAGCTAGTAGGTATCTGAGGCTAGATTTGAACTCAGTAAAATGAGTTTTCTGACTCCAAGCCTGTTATTCTGTCTATACTGTGCCACCTACCTGCCCTCACTTCATTAGTTAGCACAGGCAATTTTATAACTACTGTAAAGAGCCAGCTTTCCATCATCAGAAAGAAAAAAGCATAAATGAACAAATATATATGGGTATGCCTGTTCAGCAGGATTGGCCCAAAATATATTTCTGAAAGCTTTATAACTCAGCTGTAGAGTGTAAGAACCACTTAGTTATCATTAGATATAAACTTTTCTTTTGAATAAATACATCATTTTGGAAAAAAATAAGCTCATTAATTGGTGGCTTGTGACGATACATATTCTTTTTTTTTAAGTTTCAATAATGTTAATTCAATGGTTTTATACATTTAAGCCTACTGAAATGAGAGGGCTTTGATTTAGTTAGCAAAACTAAAATTCAATTATCATTAAGCTCTTACTATATACAAGTTCCTATTCTCAAGGAGCTTATGTTTTGCTGGAGGTTATACCCTGTACAGGTGCTAGGTGGCATAGTTGGATAGAGCACCTGGACCTGGAGTCAAGAAGACATCTTCCTGAGTTCAAATCTGGCCTCAGACACTTACTAGCTGTGTGACACTGGGTAAGTCACTTAACCCTGTTTGCCTCAGTTTCCTTATCTGTAAAATGAAATGGGAATAGTAAACCTCTGCCAAGAAAACCCCAAATTGGGTCGCGAAGAGTTGGACACTACTGAACAACAAATGCATTTTGTAGAGTAGCGAGGAGTGGAAGGTTCATGATTAGAAACTGAGGAGATAAACAATTGATGATTTCTTTTGAATAATCAGAAAAGATTTTATGATATTCAGGAGATGTTTGACTTCAGGTTTCACTTGATAAAATGATACTGATGGGGGAGGAGGAGGTAGACTGGTCATATGCCTTCTCAAGGTTCTTCCAAGGGACTTTTGAAATTCTATGAAATATGGCTTTAGTTGACATGAAGTATGGAAGAATTTAGAACTTGTTTAGACTTTTGAACTAGCGTAATTTTGACTATAAAATAATCATTCAAATTTACAGCACTTTGAAGATGACAATGTGTTATTTTTCTTACAACAATCCCTTGAAGTTATTGTGGAAATGGTGTGCCTATTTTACACAGGAGGAAAGCAAGGTTCAGAGATACTCATGCTAAAGGAGTTAGGATTTGAACCCAGAACTTCTGAGTCTAGATCTAGAGCACTTTCTACTTTCACCACACTTAATAGGGCTTAGAATGTTAACGGAGAGTGACCCTGATCTCTGGTCTATTTACTTTGTTAAAATTGCAGTTACTATTTGGTAATGTGACCTGATTTCTGTTTTCACACTTATATTTAGGCAAGAGTAAATACTGCGTATTCTAGGAATAAAACAATACTTTGAAACTCTGTCTGTTTTTGCAAAAGGCCCATAAAGGTCATTTTTTCATATTCATTGTCACTGATATAAATGTATGTATTTATCAGATCCTCTTTGATTTCCCAGAGAGGTCACAAAAATAAAAACAATCACCACTTAAATTTCTGATGGAGAATTTTAGAGAGTATTACCTTTCATTCTTAGGAATTTGGTTTTAAACAAGAAATCTGTGGTATTCTCTTTCAAGGCATAAAAAGGTCCTGAACTCTGGTTGATTGCATTTATTGCTCTTGTAATTTACAATTGAATGTTTTGGTAAAAATAATTTGTGTTTGTCTTGGCAGACAATTATGGAGCCTTCCACTTCTGTCACTGTTAATAGTCAAAAAAACTTGTAGGCAGTCTTTTCTCTATTGAAACACTGTACAGATTTTTGTAAAAAATTATTGGCTCCATAAATTTAATTCTTTTTGTGGATTATAGGATCATAGATTTGTTATTGGAAGGGATCTTATACACCAAGTAGCACAGTGCCTGGCATTCAATGTGCTTATTAATTGATGAATAACCCCTTTTCATTAAAGGATTGATGAATTAATCCTTTATTTTATGTATCAAAAAAACCTGAGGTCCAGCAAGATTAAGTGATTGATCCAAGAAAGCAGATTGTAAGGAACAGGGTTGGCATATGAGCCCAGGGCCCCAAGGTCCCGTATAGAACATTCTTTCCATTATACCACACTGCCTCATATCTTCTCATAATTTTGTTCTATTTTCTCTCCCCTCTCTTTTAAATCTGAGTTGCAACTACTGTGGCACCTATTATTAATGGCACCAAAGCTGTTGATTCTTTGTACTCCTTTACTATTCTCTGCAAGACATGGCCAGAAAACAGTTTGTATTCGTAAGTTACATACTCCCTTCATCTGCCAAATATTACAGCAAGTCTGATGACATAATGATTACAACCAGAGGAAAAAACCAAGCAGAACCACACACAGAAACTGCCCTAGAGAGGTACTGTTATTTCCTGTTTAATTTCTTATCGGAAGATTTGAAAGGAGATAAACATCAAATTGTAAAGTTAGCCTTAAATTTTTATTTATTATTATGATGTGACTTCATTTACCTGTTACTGTGTGAAAGTTGTGTAGAGTGAGAATTTTGCAATTAATCAGAGTGAAAACACATGAGTTAATTCTCAAGCAGGTGTTTGTCAAGAATTGGTTGCAGTATTTATTCAGAAAGCCAGGAAGGTTTGGTCAAGGAAGCCACTTCTATGCTTGGCTTTGTTGCTGTTGTTTGAAACCAGAGCTTCGATATCAATGGCTAGGAGTTCGACTTCTCTAGATTTTGATTTAACCCAACAAAGCAATTATTTCTGGTACTGGCAAAGGTGAGATTCCTTTTCCTCCTCCACCTCTCTTTTTTACTTACAAAGAGAAAGGAAAGATTTTATGATGCAGTCTAGGTCTTATGTAACTTATGGCCATTTAAATGTTTTTAAAATGTCTCTTGAAACAAATGAAACTTAAATGATTTTGGACTGATTTTTTAAAAGTAGAAATGTAACTGTTTAGTAGGGGGAGGGGTGCTGCTATTTGTAATTTGTTCTATGGGGACTAAACTTGAAACTTGAAGAGACCTTAGAAATTATTGTCCAATTCCTCTTTTTATAGATGAAGAAACTGAGTCCTACTCAGTATAGTAACTTGCCCATGGTCACAGAGGTAGCAGAGTTGAGATACAAACCAAAACCTTCTGACCCCCAAACCAGCAGTCTTTCTACTATGCCACACTGCCTTTTCTCACGATTTTGTTCTCTGTTAGGATGAAGGCTGAGTTACAACTTGACGACTATGGTGCCTATTACCAGCAGCATCAAACCTGCTATTTGCAGTCAGATTTTGAACCATATTTTGAATATAACTATAACTTTATATTTTATGAGAATGTTCAGAATGTCTCTTCTGCAAAGGAGAACACTAAAGATCTAGCTGAAATTCCGGCTGTGTCAGAGGTAATTATTTATCTAAATGAATTCACTGTATTTTATATTCCCTCGATTTAAATATTTACTTTATTCCACAGACACAAAAGTTCACACTCCAATATGCTTTTCTATTTTAAAACAAGAGAGTGAAGTTAGTTACCAAAAGCATCTCATTGATAAATGAATTAAAAATGCAGTTACCTTTATGCAAAAGATAATTTTATGGTAAATTTCTACTGAACTTGAACAATTACAGTTAAGTTAGTATTTTAGATTTCAGCTACTCAGAATGTTTCATCATCATGGCTTTGGAAAAGGTCATTCTGCGTTTCACAGTATTGTGTAACTCAACATTTTTTTAAAAATTGCAACCTATTTGTAAGGAAAGTGTATTTAAGGATATGTTCCCTTTTTTAGAAGGTGGATATATGAGAATTTTTAAATTGTGAGAGGACTTTAACAATTATATCTAGTCCCTCCTCATCGGACAGATGAAAAAAGTTGATATCTAGTCAGGGATTTTTTTCCCTTTCTTGGTTATAATTTGCCTATGTTGTAATTATTCATGGGTTCAAACCTCTAGATTCTCCCCTTCCTTAAATAACAGCAAAACTTTATAGAGAAATGAATAATTATTAAGTAATCATAATCATAACTTTTCTTTTAAGATCTCCATGCTTAATTTTAGGCTCGGACTACAAATAGTGATGAGGAACAAACTGAAGGTAATGGCAATACTAATCTATCTGCTGCTTTGATTGAAAATGTATTTTGAAATGATCCTTGTTGTAGTGTTGGACATTAGCTAGAAAGCAAAACTTTTCATCAGGTATTAGGCTGCTTAGTTTTCTGTAATCTGCAATGTAATTTACTAAGTATTGGCTGAATGGGATGTAGAGATGTTGTATAATCATTGTTATGGAGCTAGAGTTCAGTATATAAGATTAAAGCTATGTAAAGAATACCAGATTACCAGGAGTCAGGAGGACTGGGGGTGTTTATCCTAGGTCTTCCATTAAAATGTCTGTGTGACTTGGTTAAGTCAATGTGCCTGTCAATGTCGTAGTAAATTCAACTCCAAAATGATGGGGTTGGATTAGATGCTTTCTAAGATCCCTCCCAACCCTACTCATACATTGTGCTAAATTTTGGGGGGGGTTTCTTCACCCTACCAGCTTAGGATATGGCAAAAAGTGTAATGTTCCTTTTTGACTTGGCAAAGATAGCTTTTTCCAGTGTGAACCTACTGCTATTTCAAAGTGTGTGAGGTTGGGTAGTGGGAGCTCAGGTGGGGACAATGATGATAATGAGATGAAAGGGAAACATGTTCTTTTTATTTTCCTAATGAAAGGAAAGATCTGTGTAAGGGGGAAAATTTGAAAATATGTGGGAAGATTTAAAACTATTTCTGCTGAAATGTATAGGGGACTCTTAATAGCCAGTGACAAATTAAAATACTCTACCTTATATCTTGAGTTAAAGAAATAATCGTGTTACTCATATCTCAGAGGTTCTCACTCTTTAGTTATTATTTAATCATGAAAGTGGAAGTTTAATATCTGAAAATAATATATTTAAGAATGTATCACTTTAAGTTTTAGACAAAAGAATGTTTGTCGTAAATCTAAATGACAGTTTTTATTTTTAAAAAAAAAGTGTGAGGACTCTCCAAAAATGAAACATTTTATTCTTGAAAGGCATTTTAAACTTTGATTTTCATATTACTTGACCACATTACACATTTTTAGCCTGTCTTTTTAAAGACTACAAAATGCTCATTTAAAATTATTTTGGGACAGCCATTGAAAGTATCAGCTACTTAATTGTTTAATGGTAAAACTAGCCAGCCTTCATGCACTGTTGGCTTTTATAGATCCACAGATTCCCTTGGATATTGAGAAGCTGAACAAGGAGTTTATGGTGGGAAGTGAAGAGCTCTATGACTCCCTAATGAATTGTCACTGGCAGCCTCTGGATACTGTTGCTTCTAGAATCCCAAATAATGTCCAGGAGTAACTGGGCAAATACAAAGCAGTTCCATCAAGATGCTATCCAGTGGTTATATTGATACTTTGGAGTGGGCGTCATAAGTACTTTTGTTTTGTTACATAGGCATTTGTTTGAATAAACTTGTTGGGAGGATTGGAACGTACTGAGATAATGAAGAACTACTCCATAAAAATAAAGATAACCAGTAAATGCATTTTACTTATTATTTAGGATGCAAGGTAGTGTACCCCAGGCAACATTTGAAAATTGTGCTTTCCATGTATAACCCATATTAGATTGCCCTCTTGGGGAGGAGGAGGGAGAATTTTGGAACTTAAAAATATTATAAAAATGTGTGAAAATTGTCTTTACATGTAATTGGGGGGGAAATAAAATATTTTTTATATTTTTAAAAAGAATAAAAAAGGAAGAAAATTGTACTCTTCTCATTTTTCTCCTCTCCATGAAAGCAAGAACACAACTTTACCTCTTAAAAAACTTTCAGTTTAGAAATGGAGTAGCGTATTGCCCATTTCTGGGTGACAGTTAACAGAATTCTCTCTTGTGCCCTGTGTTTCTGTTTGTTGGCTTAAATATAACAAGCTCAAAACAACTTCCTATGTGCCGTTGAGAGCATTTTTTTTGTTAGAATCTGAGAATTTATAAAAGGTAATAAAGTATACTTGGTTTAATATCCTTCTCCACTTGCATCCTAGATTGGACATAAAATTACTGTGGCATAGCTGCTTACCAACAGCGCCCCCCCCCTCCAATAGGTAGATAAGCACGAGAGCCCTGGTAACACCCCACTGGTCTTGAACCCATTCCTCATTAGGGAAGTAGAGTCTGTAAGGAGAGACCGGCCATCCCTGCCAACAGCTACTCAGAGGCTAGGCAAACAACCTCAGCTGAAGTAGGTATCCTAAGACACAAACAGGAGGGAGACATGCTTAGCAGGCTAGGAAGCAACCTGTGTGGAGATACAGATTGGCAACTGCTCTAGCAGGTGCTACAGCCACATCTGTTAAAGACCAGAAAAGGGAATTTTTGTCCCTAAAGGTCTTGGCACTGTCACATGGTTCAGCATTAGAAACTGACAATTTATCAGTGAAAAGAAATTAAAGACCGAGATATTGCCATCTGCTGTTGTACCCTAAGGACGGTGAGACCTTTCTATATGATTTGAAGCTGAAATCTTCCATGTGTGTTGCTTTCCCCATTAAAATATAAGCTTCTTGAGAATAGAGACTGTCTTGCTTTTCTGTTCACGTTCTTAGTGTTTGATACTTTGCTTTGCTCCTAGTAAGCCCTTAATGCTTTGTTCATTCATTAATGGGGGGAAAACCCTTAGCCTACCTATCTACAATTCATATATGCTTAGGAGAGGTAATAGGTCAACTTTTGCTGTTCAGTGATTCTTCATGATCCCATCTGGGGGGTTTTTTGGAAAAGATATTGGAATGGTTTGCCATTTCCTTCTCCAGCTCATTTTACAGAGAAAGAAACTGAGTCAAACAGTGATTTGCCCAGAGTCACACAGCTAATGTGTCTGAGGCCGGGTTTGAACTTGGGGCTTCCTGATTCAGACCCAGCACTCTATCCACTGTACTACCTAGGCTGTCCTAAATTTCTGCCAAAACCCAGGATTGAACCAGGTACCTTTAGATTTTCAGTCTAATGCTCTCCCAATCTAGCTATTTTGGCTGTTGATCAACTTTAGTGTGACTTTAAGCATAAATGCCTGAGATCAGAGCCTCCCCTAATACGAATTTGCAGGGCTAAGGGAGGAGAAAACTAGGCACCTGAAATAAGATGTGGACAATCTGTGAGATGAAGGGTATAGGGGGAGAAGGGGGCATACAGTAAAACTTTTGCCTACTTAAGTTTTGTTGTGTGATTGTCTTGTCTAGCTTGTTTGTACAAACAACTACAGTAAAGATGTAGAAGGAATTCTATTTCCAGAACATCCTCTAGCTGTATGTGACTTTTAAGCATTAACACAAAAATCCACGGTTTATACATATGAGATATATACCAGAAGAAAAAAATCAGAAGAAAATCTCAGGTAATCTCAGAATGTAATCTCAGAGGAAAATAATGGGGAGGAAGCTGAGGGAGGGATGGGAACCCTGAAAGATCACCTGCAGAAAGTGAGATTTTAGCTTGGTCTTGAAAGAAGCCAAGGAATCCTGGAGTCAGGGATGAGGAAGGAGAACATTTCAGGCACAGGGCTTAGCTAGTGCAAAGGCATGGAGAGAAGAAATGGAAGTGTCATTTGTGAAGAATGACAAATCAGTGTAGCTGAATTTATAGTGTATAAAAGGGAGTAAAGTGCAAACCATGGATATAATGTCAGATTTGGGGCTATGTTGGTTAATGTTGATTTTTTTCCTTCAGTTGTAAGGGATGGCTCTCTAGGAGAAAGGATACATTGGGAAATTTAGGTGTTGTAAAAACAAAAAAAATATTTTTAAAAGTTTGCATGCATGTTTGTGGGAGGGGGATGCCTTAAATTGAGCCCCTGTCATTGTGAATTGCAAAGTTCACTGTGAATTCTTAAGTAGAAAGAAATGTATATTGTCTCAATCAAAATCTGCAGTGAAGAGAAACTGAGGCTCAAAAGTCCAAGCATGATCTATTAGCAAGGCTCCAGTTGCCAATAATAGAGGTCAGTGACTCCTCAGTGATCAGAGATACACTCTACAATCAGAGCACCTTTTTATATAGTTTGGTGGTTACATAAGGTCCAGGGATGCAAACTAAACTAAGACTGTGATTGGTCCGTAGTTATGCTGACTAGCAAAAAGAGTCCTCCAGAATTCATAGTGACAAGGAAAACACAAAGTTGAATATTCTCTGGAAAGTCCCCAGCTGGATACCTGCTTCACTAGAGAGACCCAATTGGCAAGAAAAAATCTACTGACTAGGTGGAATCATCTTCCATCAGTTTTTATCTCCCACGAGAGGCAGGTCCAGTCTTGGTTGTGTGCAGTCTCCTACAAAATTTTCTACCAAGGCCTATACCAACTAAATCCAAATCTAAGCCCTAGAAATTGGTTGCAGTGATTACTAAAACTTTTAACTATTAATCAGTCATCAATAACCAATTTCATACCATCCAAGCAAGAATCAGCTTGTGGTAGTGGTTGTTCATGGAAGTAGAAAGAGAAAAAGGTTTTGTTCTATGATTTAGCTTTACTAGAGTAGCAGCATAGGATGGTAGAAAATCACAGGACCTGGGTTTGAACTCCATTTCTTCTACCTGCTACTCATGTGACCTAGGAAAAGGTCACTTAAACTTTCAGGACCTCAGTTTCTTTATCTGTAAAATAAGTAGTTCATACCAGATGATTTATGTGGTCCCTTGCAGCTGTAACGTTTCCCGGTACTAAGCTGCAAAAAAGAGCATCATCATAGAAGTGACTTAATTTCTAACGATACAATTAGCTAAGCAATTTCATCAATATGTAATTTTTGTGCCCCTTGCACACAATTGCATCTAACATTCGATGATTTTTGGTACCACAAGTAAAAATGCAATTTTCTGCTTGCAATTTTCTGCTTACTAGGTAGCTACTATCATTATAACAAAATCTGATTTTATTCTGAAGTTTTTAAAATTCCCTTTTCTAGTCAATGGTAAAGAAAGACAGATTGTTCATTTGGTGCTGCACTTCAAAAACATTCTCCCCTTGAAGTGCTAATTTAAACTACATAACCATATTGTACAACCCCCAAATAAACACTGTTTATCTTTGATGGTGCTTTCAATAGTTGCAAGCTAAACAAAGATAAGAATATATTCCCAGCTTTTCCCAGCAGGAACAGAAACATTTTGCTCTGTGTAGAGTCCTCAAAAATAAAGAGCCACTCCACATGAATGAATGGCAGAGACCAATTTTGCTTTTAACTTCTGAGAGGCCTCAATCTTTCTTTTAGTATTTTACAAACCCTCCATTTTACATTACAACAGTAGGGTGAATGATCAAAAAAATGCATGCCTTTTATTCTGGCACTAGAGGCACTTTTCATGTTGATCTTACATTATGTGTTTATTATAATACTTTTCAAAGTATGTTCATATCTGTTGAGTACCCTTTAAAAATATTTTCTCAAAGCTTACCCATATACACTATGTATTAGGTTTATCTTTAAAAAGAGGGAGAGAAAAAATATTCAGGAATAGTCTCTGAAATGATTTGTCCTTCTAAAAAGTATGTATGTTGGCAGGAAACTAAAGTAATCACTGCTCCAATTATAATAATTACTGCCACTTTGGAGGGCAGCTTCTTTAAATAATGTTCTTCTGAGCTGTGTGGTGTGCATCACTCTTTTGTAAGATTGATGTCTATCTAGGCATGACTAAAAATCTAGCGTTTTTCTTTTTTCAGAATCCTGCCAAGTTCACATACTCTTGCAGTGTGGCTGGAGTTTAAACCATATCACAGAAGAAGTACATTATAGTGCAGAAATGTTAAACACCACAGGTGGCTGCAACACTCCTGAGTGCAGTCAAACCAGATTAAAATGTAATTGGGAAATAGCAAAATAAAAATATAATGAAACATAGAAAATGTTAATATGTGGTTTTCTAAGTCAATATACACCTGCATGGATTCATATATACTATTCAGTGGCCCCGTTTCTATTTGAGTTTGACACCACTGTGTGTTGTAAATGGGACATTGGACTTGGAGAAGAGAGTATCGAGGTTCAAATCCCCTGTTGGACACTTACTAGCTATGTGACCCTGGGCAAGTTGCTTGATCTTTCTCTGCCTCATTTTTCTCATCTATAAAATGAGGGGGTTGAAGTAGACGATCTCTAAAATTTCTTCCATGAAATATGATCCAGCGATCCATCCCTGGGCCATTTCCAGGTAGTCTTGTGTAATTTGAGGGTGTGCTTTCAGTAAGTTCTGGTGGGTCTCCTATATAAGCTAGCCTTGAAAATATTAATCATTTTATTTTCTTTCCTCACAGTGTGTATATATAGTATACACTACTGTACATTTACTGCTTCTGTGCTTTCTTTGAAAGATTTAGGAACCCTGATCATCACAATAACCAATCAAACTCCGGAGGGTTCACGATGAATAATTCTACCAATCACTTGTTAGAGAGCTGATGAATTCAGAATGCAGATTGAGACACTTTTTTGGAAGTGGCCAATATGGAAATGTGTTTTGCTATACTGTATGTGTTTATACCAGGGGGTTTGTTTTATTTTGTTTTCTCATGGAGGCAAGCAGGGAGTTTGAAGGAAGAGAAAGCAGATCTTCATTTGAAAAAAAATTACCTTAAAAATTCTTTTATTTTTTGGGACATCTATCAATTATTTCTGGGTTTGCACTTTGGAATGAGACAGAACAGTTCTGATCCCTTCTCCACAAAGCTGTTTGTCATGGAGGTGAGCAGGGAGTTTGAAGGAAGAGAAAGCAGATCTTATTAGAAAAAAAATTACCTTAAAAATTCTTTTACCCTTTGGGACATCTATCAGTTATTTCTGGGTTTGCACTTTGGAATGAGACAGAACAATCCTGATCCCTTCTCCACAAAGCTGTTTGTTATGAGAACTTTCATTGTCCTTACTAGCCACTCCCCAAATAAGCAGGACATGATATGGGCAGACAAGTAAACTGCAGTTTATTCACAGAAATGTGACACACACCATCAGTAGGTGTTGGATGTGTTTGTGTGTTAACGTGGGAGATGATACACACACACATGCACATATATGCATACATACGTACATACACTTATGTCCACACACATGGTTGTATATGTGTTTATATACATATATCATGCTTCCAACTCCTGATAGCTGATGGAGTCAGAGTGCATATTGAGACACTGTTTTTGGACATGGCCAGTGTGGAAGTGTGTTTTGCTATACTATTCATGTTTGTAACAGGGTGTGTGTGTGTGTGTCTTTCTGCACTGAGTCTCAATGCAGGGCATGTAAGTTGGAGGAAGAGAAGACACATCTTCATTTGAAAAAAATTAGCTTGAAAAAAAGTCTCTGAGAAGTCTATCCAATATTTCTGGTTCTGTTTATATGTAGAGGTAGATGTATATATATGAGATCAGATTTTGAAGTTTAGTCTTTTCAGAATTGTTTTCATATGTTGTCTTCAGTAACTTCCATTTTTCAGTTCAGCTTTGTCTGTCTTTGATCAAGTAACTCCATCACTCCTGTGTCTAAAGGGAACAGTTGTTTTGCAATTATTGTATCTTTCATTTCCTGATATATGTATATACTTATACATATGTGCATGTATATAATACATGTGTATATGTGTATGTATATATACACATGCATAGTGTATATATATATATTCTCCCCTCCAGAGCTATGTGATCTAGAAAGTAACAAAAAAATAGGATGTGCTTCTTACAAAGCCATTTGGTGAAACCAGGTACAGCACTTAAGCAGGAAAAGATATAACAGAAAGAGGATGTTTAAACTGTTATAAAGGAAAGAACATATCTATGTTAGCATAGCCATTTACATTAGACCAAAGAAAACAGTACCTTCTTAGTCAATAAGGTTTTGTAAAAGACCGACACTACATGCTTTATCAGATAGGATAAAGAGAAGAGGACAAATCTCTTGAGCTATTGAGGTCCTCTTTTATAAAATAATTAAGAGGAGATGTTGGAGAGTGACATTTTGCTGTATGCTGTCCTTGAAGTATGTGCTGAGACAACACGTAGTCAAAAAAAAATGGAGGGGGAGGCAAATACAAAACAAAGTGGAGTTGGTTATGTCAGTTCTTAACAGACTACTTTTTGTTCTTAATCCTCTAACAACATCTTAAAATACTTAAAAGTAAATGTTATACACTTCTTCCTCCAAACTTTTCTTCTCCAGATTAAGCACCCCCAGTTCCTTCAGCTAATGTTCATGAAACATGAACTCAAAGCCCTTCTCCATTCTGGATGCCCCCCTCTTCTCTGGATGCTCTTGAACTTAATTAACATCTTTCTTAAACTGTGATGCTCAGAGCTTAAAATAATGCTTTAGGTGTGGTCTGACCAGGGCAGGATACTTCCTGTTCCTTAAGTTATACCTCTCTCAATGCAGCCTAAAATGATATTGGCTCTTTAGGTGGTCAAATCACACTTACTGCCTTTTTGATTTTGCAGTCCTCTAAACCCCCCCCAATATCTTTTTCAGACCTAAAGTCTAAAGTGTCTAAGTGTGCCTCATATAGTACTTGTGAATTTGATTTTTTTGCATCCAAGTGTAGGACTTCACATTTTGTCCCTATTGAATTTCATCATATTTCACCCAATGCTCTAGCCAAAAGATCATTTTGGATTCTGATTCTGTCGTCCTATGTGTTAGGTACCCCTCCCAGCTTTTGTGTCATTGATAAAAATGTTAAATAATAGGAGGCCAAGTATGGATTCCTGGAGAGCTTCTTATGTCAATCCACTGATAACTACGGGGGCAGCTAGGTGGAGTAGTGGATAGAGTACTGGGCTTGGAATTAGGAAGTTCAAATACTTACTGTGTAACCTTGGGCAAGTCACTTAGCCCAACTTGCCTCAGTTTCTCATCTATAAAATGAGCTGGAGAAAGAAATGTCAAACCGCTCTAGGAACTGCCAAGAAAACTCCAAATGGGGTCATTAATAGTTGGACATGACTAAAAAGTTGGCAACAAAATTGATGACTGCTCTTCAAGTTCATCTGTTTTACTACTTCTAAATCTAACTGTGTTACCTAGGCCAACTCTAGCTTCTCTATGAGAAAAATGTAAGAAACTTTATTTTAAAAAAAAAAACCTTTTCTAAAATCCAAGTAAATTAAATCTGTAGCAATATCCTAATCTACCACTTTAGTAACCTTGTCAAAAAAGGGAAATAAAATTAGTCTAGCATGACCTGTTCATGATGAGTCCATGCTGGGTGTTTGTAATCACCCCCTTTTCCAGATGTTCACCAGCCATCGCTTTTATGATTTGATCTAGAACAGGAGTAGGGAACCTTCAGCCTTGATGCCACATGTGGCCTTCTAGGTCCTCAAATGTGGCCCTTTGAATCCAGACTTCACAGAACAAATCCCCTTAATAAAAAGATTTGTTCTGTAAAACTTGAACTCAGTCAAAAGGCTGCACCCAAGGACCTAGAAGGCCACATGTGGCCTCTAGGCTGCAGGTTCCCCACCCCTGCTCTAGGATTTCCCCAGAAATTGCAGCCACTTTACTGGCCTTTAGTTTGGAAACTATTTTTTCCTCCTTCTTTGAAAATTGGAAAATTTGCCCTTTTCCAATCTTGTAGTGCCTCTCATTTTCTTTTTTTTTTAAGGCAATTGGGGGTAAGTGACTTGCCCAGGGTCACACAGCTAGTAAGTGTCAAGTGTTTGGTTTGAGCTGGATTTGAACTCAGGTCCTCCTGACTTCAGGGCTGGTGCTCTATCCACTGCACCACCTAGCTGCCCCTCTCATTTTCATAGTCTTTCAGATACCACTGTCAGGGACTTGGCAATTACAGTGGCCAGTTTTTGCAGTACCCAAATGTGTAATTGATCTGGGCCAGACCATTTGAATTCTCTAAGGGCAGCTAGGTATTCTCTTACCATCATCTTACTTGGTATCAACTTTCTCCTAGCCATTTTTATTCTGTCATTTCCAGGGCAAAGGTCATTTTCATTGGCAGAGAAAAGAGAAGTAAAATAAGAATTGGACATTGCTACTTTCTTTCTGTTGTCAGTTACCATTGTCCTCTCTACCTAGTGGTGTGCTAGAGACCAATCACTGCCAAGATAATTGTTCATCTTTCATTGTGTGCATTTATACATTGGAAATCAGCAAATGCTACAAACCAAGTCTTAGTTCATTGTTTTACTGATTGTCTAGACTTAAGAAAGTGGTGCAGAAAATGCTAATGATGCAGACTAAACTTAAAAGTTTGTCATTCTTACGTTCCTCTCTGCACACCCCTCAAGAGCTGGTTGTTAAACATTGACCAGCACACCTCTCTATCCACTCCAAGTGATGGCCCTGTCTTTCACTGACTGACTGTCTCTCTGTCTCCCTCCTCTTCCTTTTCCTCCTCCTCCTCCTTTTCTCAGCCATCACCATTTTTACAAGAATTATGTCATACTCATGTTCCTTCTCAATTATCTGCCCTTATTTCCATATTTTGCAATTTTAAAAAATCTAAATTGCTTTGAGATTTCCTTATGCATCCATGTTGATCTCTTTAGGGAAATCCTTTTTACTTCCTCACTACAATTGTTTCCCTTTGAGTGTTCCCAATTTCATTCTTAAGGATCTTAAGATTGGGTAGACTTTCCCTGAAGAATTTTAGTCCATAAGATCCTCCCTATATTTCCTTTGAACCTTTTGAAATCTCCTTTCTCAAAATTTAGAGTACATATTAGACTATACCGGATTTCTCCTCCTCTATCACTGACATTAAATGGAAGTATTCACTTCCTTCCAGGTTTCCAATTATTTACACTTTAACAACAAATTTCTCCTTACTAGTAACAATCAGATCCAGAATAAAATTTCCCTTTGTTGGTACCACCATATTTTGGTGGATGAAATTGCCATCAAAACAAGTCAAAAATTATTAGTAGCTCTGCTTTTGGCAGGGAAAGTTCCAACAGATGTCTAGATAAATGAAGTCCCTCATCATATCATGCCTCTGAGATAGGCTTGTTAATCTGTTTCTCAGACTTCTTATTTACTTTCTCTCTACATGGTCTATAGTATACTCCAGGGACAAAATCACATCTGTTTCTCCCTCTATAGGTTTTCTCCATCATGCTTCCCTCCTTTGGTTCCTGAATTTTTCATATGAATATGCTTTCTTAATAGAAAATGCTACCCTGCCTTTTTATCTATTCTACTTTTTTTTATTAAGGTATAACCATACAAAGCCATATTCTAGTTATAGGTTTCATCCCACCAAGTCTCAGAATCTCTAAGGTCAAAATATCCTTCTTTTAAGACATCTAGTTGGTTTTTTTGTCACCTGAATTTGGGGCATTTGTATATAGATGCTTGAAACTAGGGTTTTACTACTGTCTTCTTTCTTGAATTGTATTTTCTATGAGGTATCTCAATTCTATCCTTGCCTCATTATTACTACTTTCATATATGTATGTATACAGGTATATAAGAATGTGTGTATATAGATATATACATATGTGTGTATATAGGTACAGTCTTCTCCATCCCCCATCCTCTTTAGTTTAAAGCTCTTTTGATTATATTCTCAAGGTTTCAGACAATTACATTCTCACTCACCTTTGTTAGGTATACTCTGTTTTTTTGCCAGGAATCTGTCATGCCTATATTTTAAATTGTGGTCCCAAAGTCCAAATCCCATTCTCAAATACTGTATTTTTAATCAGTTTTTCCCATTCAAAATCAAATTTTATCCTGTGCATCACTTGTCTTGAATGTGTGAGAGTGAGGAAACATGGCCTGTGCCTTTAGGATCTTCCATTTCTTGCTCAAGGCTTTCATGATCTTTGGCAATATTCTTTAGGTTCCTTTTGGCTGTACCATTTGTAACCCTGTGAATCACTAGAAGTGGGTAGTTGTTATCCATTTTGATCAGTCAGAGCAAGGTTACTGTGATGTCTTGGATACTTGCCCCAGGAAGACAACAGACCTCTATTGTGTTTGTCAGGTCAAGAAATAGCTGCCCCAGGACCTCTGAGCAGGAAATCATCAGTGACTGTTATTACTCTCAGCTTCTTTCTCAGACCCCCTACTGAATGATCACTCAGCTGATAGCTTCTATGATATCCTTCATTAGCCAACAAGCACCTGCTTTCTTAACTGATCACCCGGTTTTCTCCTCTTTGCAGAAAAGCCTCAAATCTGTTTTTGAGCTCTGGGTTCAGCTCTCCGTTTCCTTCTCTTTTTTCCCTGTGTAACATTCTTCTACTTTCCAACCTCCTGAGAAGGGTCAAGTCTCACATATACTACCTCAGGTCATTTTTAATCTTACTGACACACCTCTAGCAGTGCTGCATTGCCCTACCAGCTTGGAGTGAGGAGGTGCATTCCTTGAAGTCACTTTACCTTTTCCTTCAAGAGGAAGATAACACTGTTGTTGCAAGTGACTGCACAATTCCCGTTACTCTCCATGCTACTTGATATGATCAGTCTGGGTGTCTTGTTTCTTTGCTTTTCTTTTTTAACTGTGAAGAAAAATATTTAAGGCATTTTGGTGAGAGTTGTGGCTGGGGGCTGTGCAGGAAGCAAAACAATAATGGGTTCCTGAGTTTAGACACTCTTACTCCAGTTCTCTGCCTCCAACTCCACCACCTGCCCACTCTACAACCATGATGGAATAGGCCATCTCCTTCACCAAGGAGTTTCTGGCATTTCCGCTGCAGTTTTCAATACAGTGGTGCCATCCCCCACCCCTGCCCCCACCCCATCTTACTTAGAGAGCAAGTCCAACTACTTCTGCAAGTGTCTGTATTCAGGTAAATTACTGCTTATAAAAGGTACAAAAACATATTGGATTGTAGAGTCCAAATTCCAAGGTGCATTCCTTCTGGCAAAGTAACTTGGAAATGTCCTCAGATAATTCCCTACCCAGACCCCTAAACTCTTCTTTTAAAGATAAACATAAGCAGGTATTTTGGGAAAGAGTAGCCCAGTTCTCACAGATTGGGAGGTATTTTGCTGGTAAAGTTGCCTCTATTGATGCAACTGGAGCAGTTTCTCTTTGCGTAATGCACCCCTTAGACTTTGCAAGAACTTGCTTTGGTGCGTGACATTGGGAAGCCCGGCACAGAAGGAGAATACAAATTCCTGGGAGACTACCCGATAAAATCATGTAGTCTGATGGAATTTGTAGCTTTTATTAATGTTTCAGTGTTTCAGTATAGGGCATTAGTTTTTACAACTATGAGACTGCAAGAGGCATGCTCCCAGATCCTAAGTTGGATGGTTACATAATTGGTGGCTGCTGTAGCAAGCATGGTCTCCTATTTTTTTTTATAGCACTACTAATATTACTGTTAGTAATACTAGTTCTACTATCCTTTTATACTGCTAGATACCATAAGGTGATGAATGGCAGTGCAGTCTGGGTGTAAAGGAGCTGATTTCATGTACACTGGGACTACTGAATGAAGATTGCTAAAGAGAATGGTGACATAGTTTTCTTCAAGGGGTTGTTCTTAGAGTCATGGATAGAGCTTTTGTGATTGTCCGGTGTGATGAACTAGAAAAAAGTCATCTAAGTACAAGTACATCTGTAAGTAAGGTGAATTTTAGTGTGTGTGAAGTAGATTTTTTTGTTATTTTTTCTTAAAGTTTTCTTCCCAGAATCCATAGCCGTAACAATCTCTACTTCCCAGGTGTTAGATATGAGTTCTCATGATCATGGTTCAAAACAGTTTCTACCAGACTTGTACAGTAGATATAGGAGTGATGTAAAATTGTGATGCTATTGCTGGCAATGTGCATTCTTTGTTGCCCTATAAAGCAAGTGGGCACTGGTCAGTGACTGGGAACCCGGATAGGGGTGAAAGTACAGACTGAATGCTGTGCGGTGCCTTGATCGCCCCCGTCAAGGTTTCGGAAGGAGGAATCTGTGTGTTTGCCTCAACCAGCCCCCATTGAGGCTTGAGGGGATTTAGGGGAAAGCACAAGTTGTGCTGGTCTCTATTGAGATGAGTTGCCCCCCCTTCACACCAGCCCCTGCAAGAAGGATTGTTAGGGAGTGCCGTAGTAATTGTTATTCCCATTATCAGCAAACTCTCTAGACTAGAAAAAAAAGTAAGCTTATTTAACCCCTTATTATGACTCCATTCCTATCTTTCTGTCTGACTGAATCAAAATCGAACCTTCTAGTGAAAGAGGTGCTAGAAGCCCTCCTGTGTCTCTTTCCTAAGAAATGGAGCAGTATGTTTACTTGTTCAACAACATCCTAACAAAAAAATGGAAACCAAATACAGGTCATATTACTTAACTATATTTAGCATTTCAGATGATTGACCATCAAGAAATTTCTGTTTCTAACTTTAAAATAGGTAGCACTTTCTGTTTCTAACTTTAAAATAGTACCTGCTACTTCTCTTCATCCTCTTCCATGTCTTTTTTACCACTTTGAGGTAAGGTCATAGAGGAATCCTTGAGTCAATGGATATAGACATTTTAGTCCCTTTAAAAAAATCCAAATTGCTTTCCAGAATGGTTGAAACAAATCTCAGCACCGCCAACACTGTATTAGTCTGCATATCTTTCCATAGCTCCATGAAAAGTCATACTGAACATCACTCATTAAAAAAGACATTTAATAGTTTGAGGATGTACACTATGGCCCCTCATCAGGGTATGCAAGACTCTAGGAAGAGAAGCATGAAGCTAAGAAGAAAACATCTTCCATTCCTAAAAGATTTCTCCCAAATCCATCTTAAGTCCAGTAGAAAATATTCCTTTTAAGCTTAGTCATTCAAAAGATTTCCAGATTTCCTATTCTATGCTACTGTTAAGGTTTGATATAAATTCCCCCAGTCTCATTTTTTTTACTTTCTCTTCAGTGACAATTAAAGTCATGCCCTTTCTTTTTGCAAAGTTTCTCTCTTATAAAATAATATGTATAACATTTATCAAATAAGATTATAGATGAAAAGTAGATTTTTCTTATTTAAATCCAACATTGGTACAACAGTAAAAATTTTTTCTCGGAAGAAAATTTAGTAATTTAGTGAGTTGATAGGTTACTATTTTGGATTTTAAATTTTGCTTGAGATGGTTGGTCTTTAGCTTAGAATGACCAGCTTCTGACTACTCAGTCTAATTGCAACATAGAAGAAACAGATATGGCACTAGAGGGCTCCCTCATTCTCTGTTACAGTTAGCACTTTAACCAAGTGCCATAAATCTTAGATAACTCTCTTCTAAAATGCAAAAAGAAAATAAAAGTGATTTGGCACAAGAATTAACCATAAGAATGCTGTACCTAGGATCCAAACTTTTAAACACTCTATCCAATCCATTCCAATCCAACAAGCATGAATTAAATGTTTATTCTGTGGAAGGCCCAGGAATACAAAGCCAAAAGGAAAAAATGGTCCCTACTATCAAGGAACTTACATTCTTTTGGAGAACTTGAACTCTAATTGGTCAAATTCTTTTCCCCAGTGGCATTTTAAACTAAAATTTATACTGGAATCTTTTTCTGATTCCAAAACTTTGAAAGTAGGTCTGCTCTTAGACACTTTGGGGGGGTCCAAGAAATGTTTGCTATCAGGAACCCACCCATGTTAAGACCACTGACTTGCTTTCATTTAACTAAACACCTACTATTATCTAAGGGATGACTTCTTGCTATAGCATTAGGAGTCAAACCTATTCTACACTTTCTGCTTCATGAATTTCTGTCATGAAACTGAAAGGAAGGAACTTGGTAATGTCTTCCCCTTCCAGGACCCCACAATTATTTTTTAGTCAATCAAAGAAGGTCAACACAAGATGGAAGTATGGGGTTCTTCATATCTTCCTTATTTTCACCCCTTTCCATTTCCCCAACTTTTTGCAGAACCCAATACTATCTTAAGGGTTCCTCTATCATGTGTTAGACTGGCTATGTATTGCCAGAAATGTTTCCAAAACTGTTTCACACATAACATGTTAAAATATGCTAGAATTAACAAATACTTTTTGAACAATTTAACATTATTATGTATTTCAGATTCAAGTATTCAGATTAGCTCTCCTGGTTCTTTCCACAATCTTTGGTTTCAAGCTGGTTACCTGACTTGAGTCTCCAAGCAGTATATCAGAATCTAATAATCTGATGCACCTGTCTTAAAACATTGATGCATTGGAGGATACAGTTTTTGTTACTATAGTCATTGTTTAGATTTTCCTGGAATTTGAATTTTCTTCCTGTGGGCTAGTGACTGAAGTCACTTGTTTTGATGGAGCATTGTAAAGACAGGAAGTACACAGCACAGCTGTATTCTGTTGGCTGAATCTTTAGCATGACTCCTCACCTGTTGAAGCTTTTCTGGCCCGTGTTAAAACTCTACTAGCTAGAGGACAGTGTGCTATCAATGTTGTTATTAAGCTAGCAAAAGCTCTCATTCAGGGTCCCCTAACTCCAAATGATTCCATGTTTGCCTATTGTGTTGAATATAAACAAGCTGACGGACTTATTACTCAGGGTTGGACTGCAAGGGAGAACAGGAGAAACATTTATATAGTGTTTGCTATGTGCCAGACACTGTCAAATATTTCATTTGATCCTCACAACCACCTCAGGAAGTAGGTGCTTTTTTTACCCCCATTTTACTGTTGAGGAAACTGAGGCAAACAGTAGTCAAGGGACTTGCCCAGAGTCACACAACTAATAAGCATCTGAGGTCGGATTCAAATTCAGGTCTTCCTGACTCCAGGCCCATTACTCTACCCATTACACCACCTACCTGAATTCACTATGAATTCCCCATAGCAGCGGCTTGGCCTGAGCACTCATTTATCACACCATTCATACCACACTAGATGACAAATACTAATTTGGCACAATAACTACAAATATTACAGAAGACTTCAGTAAAGTAAAAGACTTGGGTATGGTGTTGAAAAGAGGAGGAGTCTGAGGATGAGAAAGATTCCAAAGGTAAAACAAGAAAAAAGTTGAAAGATCAAAAAATTAAGAGGAAAAAGCCAAAATTAAAATGTAGTCACAAATAGAAGAGACAATAAAAACTTTTGAAGAATGCATAACGCCTCAAGAGGAACCCAAAGCATATTAAGTATTGTGTGATGAAAAATTAACCAGTAGTAGCTTATGAAAGAGAGACTCCCCAGAAATCCCAGAACAATAGCAAAGAGGTCCAGAATGCTTCAAGAGAAAAATGAAACTCTCAAAAGAAAGAATTAAAATTGAAACTATCAGAAATCAGAGCTCTCCAAGCAGAATTTTAAAATTACAAATATTAGAGTATAAAATAATAACAGTAACTATAATTTGTGTAGTGCTTACTATGTGCCAGGAACTATGCTAAATGCTTTACAAATATTATCCCAAATGATACTCACAATAACCTTTTAAGATTCTTATCCCCATTAACAGATAAGGAAACTGAGGTTAATAGAGGTTGTGATTAGCCCAAGGTCATACAGCTAGTTAAGTGTCAGAGGCTGAATTTGAATTTAAGTCTTCCTGACTCCAGGTCAGCACCCTATCCACTGTACCAAATTGAATACATGATGGAGAATCGTGTAAAAAAAAATTGAAAAATAGAATAACAAATTAGGAACCCAAAAGTAATGAAGTGGAAGGAAATTTGACAGAGAAAGCAACAATGTTAAAAGAATGTATGAATTCTATACTGACCTGAAACTGAATATCCAAAAAGTGAAGATCTTAGCAACCAGTCCCATCACTCCCTGGCAAACAGAGGGAGAAGAAATGGAAACAGAGTCAGATTTTATATTCATGTGCTCAAAGATCACTGCAAATGACGACTGCAGCCATGACATTAAAAGACGCTTGCTCCTTGGAAGGAAAGCTATGGCAAATCTGGACAGCATACTAAAAATCAGAGGCATCACATTGCTGACAAAGCCCGATATAGTCAAAACTATGATTTTTTCCAGTACGGAAAGTAGTTTCACAGTATGGTGTGAGAATTGGACTGTAAGGAAAGCTGAGTGCCAAAGAATCAATGCTTTCAAACTGTGGTGTGAAAGATGACTTTTGAGTGCCCTTGGACAGCAATGAGATCAAATCGGTCAATACTTAAAGAAATTAATTCAGGCTGTTCACGGGAAGGTTAAATACTGAAACTGATGCCTACATATTTTGGCCACTTAATGAGAAGGTGGGAGTCATTGGAAAAGACCCTGATGTTGGGAAAGATTGAAGGCAAAAGGTAAAGAGGACAGCAGAGGATGAGATGGGTAGCTAGTATCATGGAAACAATGAACATGAACTTAACACAGACTTGGCAAAATAGTGGAGGATGGAAGGGCCTGGCGTGCTATTGTTCATAGGGTCATGAAGAGTTGGGCACCACTGAATGGCTGAACAACAACAAACAACAACAAATGGATTCTACACAAAGCAAAGTTACTGCTCTTGAAAATAGGCTATACAGAAGCAATTTGGAATTATGCACACAAAAAAAGTGACAGATGCCTACAGTTTTCAACCCAAGGATACAACAACTTGGCTTATGCCTCAAAGAAGTCAAAGAAAGGGAGATCCCATATATAGCAACATATTCACTATGATACCTTTTTATAAGGAAAAAAAACAGAAACAGTGAGTACCCGTTGACTGGCTAGCTGAAGTTATAGGATATTTTTTAAACAAAATGTTATTGTGCAATATGATAAACTTGTGGAACTCAGCAAAGTTGTTTGAAGTGGTGCATAGTGAAGCAAGCAGTTATCAAGAAAACAATATAACAATGATAGGCCATAGATAGGTCAGTGGTGTTTTATCAGTTTTCTTTACAGAGTTTCTAGGGCAATGATTACTGCAATTTTTGAGCACTGTAATTTCTTAAGAGGAAGAGCATGGAGAAGAGAAATAGGGAGAGAGAATCTGATACCTCACAGCTACATTGGCAGATTTTTTTGGACCTGCTCACATAGCCATGATTGGACTGCGGAAAAACATTTATTTGTATATTTCCCAGAGTCCAGGAAATCATTCCATCACATGACATGAATTTCTAACACTCAGCTTTCCTAAGCCAGTCAGCTTTTGTTTTGTACTTCATTTATTGGAGGTATATTGCATCCATGATATGGGTAAGGGAATAAACATTTATATAGCACCTGCTATGTGCTATGCACTATGCAAAGTACTTTTTAAAAATTATCTCATTTGATCTTTACAACAGCCCTGGGAGGTAAATGCTGTTATTATCCCCATTTTGTAGATGAGGAAACTGAGGCAGAGAGTGGTTAAATGACTTGCCCAGAGTCACAGCTAATAAGTGTCTAAGGCTTGAACTCAGGTCTTCTTGACTCCAGGCCCAGCACTCCATACACTGTGCCACTAGTTGCTTCTGTGGATCGACAAGAACTACCAGGGGCTAGAATAGGCTCTATTGCCCAGGGGAGGGAGGGAGCAAAACAATTATCTGTATCAGACCATCCACTTGACTTACATTCTAATATCAACTTCACTTTTAGCACATGCTTTATACTGTAATGTGGGTACTTTCAGTACAGGTTGAAATTTATGGCCTATAAAAAGCAAACACTATAAATGCCACAGTTTATTCTGGACTTCTGTTTCTTTATTATTTCTTTTGAATTTGGAGTTGCTGAGGATCAAAGATACCAGCTCAACTAGACTGGAATTTTGCTTTAGTTCAGGGCTCTCTCTTGAAGCCACAGTTCCAAGCATTCTAAAACAAGTGGGTATATTTCAAGTTCAAATTAGTTAGCAAACATATTTGAGGACTCAGCCATCCACTTTAAGTCACCTGCTCCATAGACACAAATGCCTTGGACGTAGTGGCTTGCAAGAGAAAGACAGCAAGAAGGTCAACAAAGAATTTGTTCTGTGAAGGAGAAGAAATATGCCCCCCCCCACAGAGTAAAATAGATATAGATGTTCTCCAAGATGGAACCAGTAGGAAGCAGCAGAAAGCATGATATGGAGTCAGATGATGTGGGTTTGAGCTCTGGCCCTGCTTATTGACTACCTGCCCAAACTTGGGCAAGTCACCCCCCCAAGCCTAATTATCTGTGTCTACTTGCTTCTGCAAGTTGGGAGAGTGAGCCCCAGAGGGATGCTACATTTGAATTTATTCTCTTTATACAGATTCTACACAAGGTATCCCAAAAGCCTTAGCACAGTTTTAATAGTTGTAAGCTCTGATAATTTAAAACTGCACTAAGACTTTTGGGACAGTGTATATTAATATATCTAGGTATATAGATAGATGTGTGTGTATACATATAAATGCAGGTACACATATAGAATATCAGTCTATCTACCTATCTTTGCTTGTTGTATTCCCCATTAGAATGCATGCTTCTTTCAAGTAGGGACTACTTAATTTATTGTATTTGTATCACTAGTACCTAACAAAGCAACTGCCACATAGTAGACTCAATAAATGGTTGATTGATGGGATCATAAATCTATCCAAATATCAATGTAAGGGGACAATTAATTAGCATTCTGCTTGGATGCTTCTTCATAATGAGGAGGTGACCCTGAATTTCCAAGAATATGCCACTGTCATGCTTTGAGCTATTTAACCAAGCTGAGAGGGTTTTAAGGATAGGCCTGGTAATAGACTTTGTGTTTCTACATAAAGTCTTTCTTGATCCCCCCAGCTGTTGGTGATCTCATTTCTAAATTTCTCTTGTATTTGTTTTGTAAATACTTTATTTATTGATTGATGTACATATGATTCCACCCAGATAGAATGTAAGCTACTCCAGGAAAGGGATTTTTTTTTCATTTTTGTCTTCATATCTCCCAGGGACTTAGTATATAGTGTATACTGAGCACTTAATAGATGTATTCTCACTAATTTTGTTTAATAAATGTTTGTTGATTATTTTTCTCTAAGCGCCAATCTAATTAAATTTGGAGAAGATCATTACCAGAAGGTTGACCATTAGGTAATGATTCTTGGAGGCCCATAGCAACTAATGAAGAATTAGCCATTTTGTGAAATAGATGATTTTAATTCTAGGCAGATTTTCTGCTACCACATATGATAATTGTGGGCCACTTTTCTCCACCATTAATTGGGTCAACTCGTGAAGATGCTCCTCAAATGTGGAGAGGTTGTAATCTGTGTTGGTAAAGTGAAGATAGCACCAGTGAAATTAGATCCTTTGAGAACTAAAAAAAAAAAAGAGATGTGCACTTTATAAATAGTGAGAGGAAGGAACCAGTAGGAAGGTAAATAGTGAAGATGTTGTTGAGCAAGGGAATTACTAAAATGGTACATAGGGTTGGGGAACCAGTAATACACGTGGAAGAAATAGTTTTGGAAAGAAGGACTCAAGAAATAAAGATCTGTCCTCTGAGTTTTTGCTTCTTTGTGAGCAAAAACAAAGAGAAAGAGCTTCAGAAATAGAAGGGGAAGACAGGAGGTACTTTGAGTTAGAAATGAGGGAAGTACAGAAATTCTGGCTTCTGAAAGGGCTGCACCTTAAGGACCATAAGGGTGTGTAGATTGTTCATTGTTAAAAGAATGTTGTGGTTTGGCAGGGACTGACCACAGTAAATCCATTTAAATTGACAGTCTTGAGCCTTGTGCTCAAGCTTTTAAAATTGCCCCTGGCTCATCTATGAATTGTTAGGTTCATTCTATTTCTATTCTTTTTTGGTTATTCTAGCAAAATGGTTCTCAAACTTTTTGTTCTCAGGACCCCTTTATACTCTCAAAAATTATCTGAGGTTCTCAATAATATCGACCAAATTAACCCAATAGAGTATACCCAGCTCTCATTTCCTTGACTCTCTTGTTTTATGGTGGTTACATCTGTCAATATTTACTATATTAGAAAATAAAATGTCTTAATATAATTATTATTATTATAAAAAACAATTTGACATCATGGACCACCTGAAAGGGTCTTGAGGACTCCTTTGCAAAGATGCCCATAAGAAATAATATTGAAATAATAGAAATAGAAATAATATAAGAAATTATGAGCTCGATGATATTAGAAAAACATGGATAGATTTGGATGAAATAATCAATAGCAAAAAGAGCAGAACCAAGAGAATGTTGTAAATGGTAACAGCAATGTTGTTTTAAGAACAACTTTGAGCAAATAAGTCATTTTGACTATTAAAAATACCCAAATTAACTACAAAGGACATATGAAGAAAGATATTATTGCATTCAGAGAAAGAACTAGTAAATAGAAGCATGTATAGAATGATTTTGTATGTTTATATATATGTGCATATGCATACACAAACATATATACATACATATATGGGTGTATCTATACATATTTTTGTCTAATGGTAGCCATCTCTAGGGCAGGAGGTGGGGAAAGAGAAATAAATTTACATAACTTTTTTGTATATTTAACAGAAATAGCAAGTTGTACATAATAGATTTGCAGTTTCATGTGCAATCATCTTTTTTTCTATTATAGTATGTTATGGAAATGCTTGTTTTATTCCATAAATTGAAAATTAAATAAATACAAATTTAAAAAATAGAAATATGAGATAGCTCTCACTGAATGCCCTAGATTTTTAGAGAGGCTTTGTGGTGCAGTGGGAAGAAGAATGGACTTGAAATCATGGGACCTGAGTTCCAATACCAGCTCTGTTACTTATTACCTGCGTGACTTCAGGCAAACTCTCTGAGCTTTAGTTTCCTCATCTGTAAAATGTGGGGTTTGGGCTAGATAATACTTGCTGATGCCCCTTCCAGCTCTAAAATTATAGGAGATGAAGTGATTTCTGTAAAAATAATAGAATGTGCCCAGCTCTCCTGGCTCCTGAGCTAGTACTTTATTCTGTCATCCTCAAGAATATCATGTACAGAAATGACCCTATGTTGCATTGCAACCTGAAATCCCCTACCATGCATGACACTTATACTCTAATAGGAAAATACCAACAGTCAAAAGGATGATACAGTCATGTTCCATTTCAGCCTTTCTCATAGTTTTCTTGGAAATTCCACTTTATAGCCCAGAGGCTGCCTTCCCCTGCTTCTTCTGGCATGAATCCAGGGACATCTGCAACGTTGATAAAGGAGAAAAGCAGAAATAAGAGCTAGCCAAAAAAAATTCCCAAAACAAAGATGAGGTACAGGATGAGTTTCAAGGTTTTAAAAGTTCTCACCCTGTGGGCATTCATTATTTATTTATCCTGTTTATTCTACTTTTCCTATTTCTTTAAGCAGAGATGAACGCCTAAAGAAGACAGGGAAGTTGATGGGTGAGCTCTGGGACCTCCTTCATAATTTAAAAGAACTACCCTTCTAGGCCTAATGTTTGGGAAGGTCTTAAACAGGGAAAGAAAACATTCTGAAGTCCTGTCTTTTTGTTCAAGCTGTAGACCCAGAATTGAAAACCCCTAAGTTGTGAACTTCTGCTGCACTTCTCAGGATATTTGTAATTTTTTTAAAAAATAAGACTCTAAGCATTTCATTTTTTAGGAAAGCAATATGGTGCCATGAGACTTGGTCACTGGACATTAATTTGAATCCTACCTCTGACACTTCTTTCCATGTGACCTTACACAATACCATTTGACCTCTGTGAACTCTAGTTTCCTCTTCTATAAAATGAGGGCCTTAGACCAGATAATCTTTGCTGATATTCCTTCCAGCTTTCCCAGTTAGAAATCTAGTATTTTTTTATGTTCACCAATCACATCCTGTTCTTTATCCTATTTAAATAAGTGCAAAGAAGAGTGCTTCCTATCAAATGAATAATTACTTAGCAAGATGGGCAAATGACAATTTATGACTCTTATTAATTTGATGCCTTTGATAAATCAGGTTAGGACTTAGCTATTGTCATGACATCAAAACAAAATTCACTTGCAATAAAAACTTACTTCCCAAATGATCCTACAAGAGGAGGGCTTGTTTTCTTAAAGAGGTGACTGTGGATTTGAGGAGTTGGCTTTTTTCATGTGCTAAAATCATATGGGCATTATTTGAAAAGGCAAGTGGGTATATATAGCAATGATGAAGATACTGTAAAGGGATAGCGATTTGGATGCCCTTGGGCCAGGTGTGGCCAGGAGGATGAGGGGCAAAAGGCTCCTCAGAAAGGAAAAAGGCCGGGGAGGGACCTAAGTAATGGTGATGAGTCAGGTTTAGGTAGGGGCCTGATATTATAGAAAGCAGACAATAATAGAAAAAGCAAAGAAAACCAGTCTTTTGAGTAGAAGTGGAAAAGAAAACATGGAGGTGGTATGGATCCAAGCGGACAAGATCCAAAGGCAGGGGTAAATCACAAGGCTCCCTAAGTTACTAACAAGGACAGATTATCTAGGATTATTAAAGGAGCTAGCAAGGACCTATGTCATAGGCAGGTAGAGAAGGAAGAGAAGATATATCTTAGGGACAGAGCAATGGGTCCACAAGCTGTGATGAAGGAGGTGGCTACAATGTAAGTGTGGCTGGGCCAGAAACTAGAGAGTGATATATACAGGGGAGTTGTGAGGCTTCACTGAGACAGATGTAAAGCGCTTTGCAAACCTTAAGGTGCTATATAAATGCCAGTTATTATTATCATTATTGTTGTTATTATCACAATTAGCCTAGAATCTTGGGCAGCTAGGTGGCACAGTGGATAGAGCACTGAGCCTAGAGTCAGGAATACTTGAGTTCAAATCTGGCCTTAAACACTTACTGGCTGTGACCCTGGGCAAGTCACTTAACCCTGTTTGCCTCAGTTTCCTCATCTTTAAAATGAGCTGAAGAAGGAATGGCAAACCACTCTAGTATCTTTGCCAAGAAAACCCTAAACAGGGGTAAGAAAAAAATCAGACACTACTGAAACGACTGAACAACAAACCTAGAGTCACCAGGCCTCCACTCCAGCGATGACTTCATTCTCCGAGCTTTTACTACACTCTTGCTAAGCTGAAGCAAAGTTTATAGAACAACACAGGTTTGTGATGGTAAATGTTTAACATCATTTATTAATAGACTAGAGATGGGAAATGTATGCACATACACTTCTAAGTTTAAATTGCATTATTATTATTTTTTAAAAGTCGAGACAATCAACAAAACGATAAATCAAGCTTTGATTTGTAGTGATTGCTGACTTCTTGGGTGTAAATGCTCATGCTGAAAATTTAACAGTTGGTTCTGCAAGTCACTTAAAGCTGGCTCCAGCACACCCTTATACATATGGGGCCAAACCAAATAAAGAATCTTATCTGCTGGGGTTCAGAGGAGCTGAATACAGGGAAGAAAAAGAAGAAGACTTACGTTTTAAAGTCTGTAGGTCTTAAGAAGTAAGGGCCATTGGTAGTAAAAATCTTTGTGAATTGGTAAGTTGAGAAATCCTTAGTTATATCAAAAGAAGGAATTTGCTTATGATGAGGCCTGGCCTCAGGCTTGGTGAATTTCTCTGAGAATGTCTTTTTCTTTTTTTTTTTCCCCACCCCCCAAATTTTAAAAATTGAGGCAGCAAGAAAAACTAAGCCTTTCTTTCTAAGGTGTTCTGTCTTCTTGCAATTAGAATGCAGTTGAAGGAAAGAGGGAGTAGCTGGCTTTGGAGACTTGAACTAGATTAAGCAAGGGTGTGTTAGGGCAGACAGCCAGCTAGAGATTCAAAGGAAGCAATTAGCTCTAATGATGGGCCTATGGGAAGTACCACATTTTGAAAGGCCTGCCTCTCCCCATTCCCTTTTCCATTTTTAAATTGTTTGAAGTCTAATTGTACAAGGCTCTATTTTTACAGCTTCCAGGTCTGAAATTCTGTGATTTAATGATTCTGTTGCAAATTTTGTTCATAGCTGCTTGACAATAAAAAGCTATTGTAAGATTATGTATGTGTGTATGTATATGTATATGTTTATATATATACACATGTGCACATGTATACATATATTACACAAAGACATGTATATATGTAGACACATATATGTATGTATGTATGTATTCAGTGAGGTGGCTCAGTGAATAGACTGCTGGACCTGGAGTCAGGAAGATCTGAGTTCAATTGTGACCTCAGACACTTACTGCCTGTGTGACCCAGGCAAGTCACTTAAACCTCAGTTTGCCTCAGTTTTCTCACCTGTAAAATGGGGATAAAAATAACATCTACCTCCCTAGGTTGTTGTATCAGATAAGATAATATTTGTAAAGCACTTAGCACAGTGCCTGGCACATAAAGTTATATAAATGTTAGTTAATATATATGTGTGTATATATATATACATACACATACATATATACACACATATATATCTTTACAAAGTTATTTGTTGATAAAAATCTTATAAATAGATATCATCTAGAAAGTTCTTCTGTTAAAGAATTTAAGAAGATTCTATTTCCTTGAACTTCTCTAAGAAATCATTTTGCCTAGGAAAGCAAAAATTGAACAAGTAACTTACCTATCTATGCTTTCTGGACCAGCTACTAGGTTTTAAGGTCATACAGCTTACAAAAAAAAATAAACAACAAAAATCTGAGTTCAAGAAACACATGCTCTACCATTTATTAGCTGTGTGAACAAGATATATGTGTGTGTGTGTGTGTGTGTGTGTGTGTGTGTGTATATTATATATACTTATACATACACATATATATATTTGTGTGTATGTGTGTGTGTAACCTCTCTGGGCATCAGTTTCCTGATGTATGAATGTGTGAAGTGGAGATTATAATATTTTTAACATTTAGTGAAAAGGTCAAATGAGATAATGAATGTGGAAGTACTTTATAAATCTTACAAGCACTATAGGGACATAAAATATCATAATTGGGGGCAGCTAGGTGGTACAGTGGATAGAGCACCAGCCCTGGATTCAGGAGGACCTGAGTTCAAATCCAGCCTCAGACACATAACACTTACTAGCTGTGTGACCCTGGGCAAGTCACTTAACTCCACTGCCTAGCCAAAAATAAATAAATAAATAAATGAAGGATAAAATAAAATCAAAATATAATTATTGTAATAGTTGTTACCTAATGATAAAGTAGAATATTTTGTTCTTGACATCTGTCAAGAATGTGACTATCACGTAGGTTAGGCAGGCGTGATTGGTGGTGATCTGCACTGTGTCAAAGAAAAACTCTGTACTTTGAGTTTGGGGCATAAGTATGCCAGAAATAATTTTTATTAAATTAGATTGTTCTAATTCTTAACACCTCTGGTTAGGGAGAGTAAAAGAAAAATCCAAAGGGATAGAAATCTATTATGCCTTTGAAAATCTCTCTCTGACCAATATGTTTTCTTTTGTATTTATTTCTTTTTATATTTTCAGTTAACCAAAATCTGCTTCCTCCCTCTCCCTTCTCCCTCTCTTCCTCTGTGTCTCTGTCTCTTTCTCCAACCTTTCTCTCCCCTCATTGGAAAAAAAAAAAGCCAAGCCCATGTAGCTCTTGTAACAAATATGTATTATGGAAACAGTTTGATTCATCAGACTGAAGAATAGTCATTAAAACATTTTGCACCCAGGAGAATCATTTTCCTAAACCATTCAATCCCTCTTTCACCACTCCTTCTGAGGAGTCTTCTTTTAGCCTGTTCAAAGGTATACCCAGGAAATACTCCTTACTTCTATTAGTTGAATTAATCAAAGACTTCTTCTCTTAGTCTGATCCTTATCTGTTCTAGGATGAGAAAAAGGACATTGCTCAATCGTAGATTAATCTAGGGCCTTCCTGTTCTTGTCTATTAACTTTTTAATTTTATCTTCATGGAGAACAGTTTCTCCCAAAACTTTTAACTGGTTTTCTCTCAGAGAGTGGTCAGTTCTTGAAGTCTGATTAAATACTGACAAGGTTTTCTTTCTACAGATAAGTCTGGAAAAGACTTTGGACTATAAAACTATTAATTTCTTAATACTTTTAAAACAGGGAGCAGGAGGGACCTTAATGTGCTTTCACAGTTGTTACAGGGATGTTTCAAATATATAGGATCTCAGATCCATTTGTTAATATATGTTAAATATTCCACTTGTGTATCTGAGAGACAGGCATAATTCCCTGATGTACTTGTCATAGGGCGTGTGCCCTAAGATGTATAAATGATATTTGAAG